AGGATTCGATCCGGAGTCCGGAACGGATTAAGTTCGAGAACCGAGGTACCACTGTATATGATGCGTGATATTGTAGCAAATTAATCACAGTATATTATAGTATTGGTGTGGTATATAATACAAAGTACTGTATATACATACATACACACAAAGGGAAAAATAGGGTTAGGTTAATCCAAGTCCATACTTAGAAACTTATGCAAAACAAAATTAATTAAATAATAAAAACAGTGATGTCATTGGCCAGTTATGTAATCATATGCATTTTAAATAAGAAATATTAACACTACATTATTAAATTATTTCATAAACATCTCCTATGTGTCTTATGAGTCTCATGAGAATTGCCTAGTAACCACTAACTTGTGGATTACCGAGAGTCAGGTCAAAACAGCGCTTTAAGAACCATTTGCTGTATTTTCCAACCCCACTAGATGGTGCTGTTGTTTTAGTTTGGGGCATGTTTGAGTTCTTTTTTGAACAGAGAGCATCATCATGTGGTGTCAGAAAATACAGCAAATGGTTCATGAAGCGTCGTTTTGGTCATCATTAGTTGAGAGCAGTGAGCTGTAGCCCCCATGCGTCTGGGCATGCATGCAGCACAAGTACAGCGGATAACGAAATGCAGAGGGGCAGTGAAGGCAACGTAGCTACTGTCTAGGAAAGGCAGATGTAAGTGATTAAAAAATCGTTGCTGTGTTTTAATATGATAATTTGTCATTTTCTTTTAGAATCTAAGACTTCGACCTGTGCAATGCGTGGATGTACAAAAAGTTTGAATCTTTCATATATGAAAACTGGTTTTATGAAATCACTGAAAAGAACCAGTTCAAAACAACTATTTGTTCACCAATAGACATCACTGTCGTTCATTTGAATAGCTGTGTTTACATGCTAGTATTACATGTAGTATTGAGTGCTTTCACTCCGACTGAAAATTCTGCAAATACAAATGTAATTCCTTATTGCATTGGACTTGGTTACTAATATATCAATTGCGTTAGAACAGACCCAAGGTGTGATATCACACGTTGTGGCAGGACTGACTGCATTTACCATTTGCAGAAGTACAGGTACATTGGACTGCTGTCTCTTTCGCATATTCCATCTCACTCTCCCTTGAGACATTCACACATACAGGGGAGAGCGAAGTTTGGGGTCAGTCATTTATCTGATGCCCCTAGAGCCAAGGGCCCATCTGAGATGTGACTATGCAGGTAAGGACAGGATTTGCTGAGCCACACAATGCGTGCCCCCCCCCCCAAAAGCGGGACCCTGACCTGATTCAAACACACAACCTTCTGATTTGAAGTCTGACACACTACCGTTGCACCACAAGGTCTACAAGCTGCTGGGTCTGTAAGTGAATCATTTCCCAAATCAGGCAAAAATGCTTAAGACCGGTCTAAATTTTCAGGAACTGCCATTTATACAGATGGAAAGCTTTTCTCAAGGAGATCATTTGTCGTACTAACATCTGCATATAGGTGCTGTGGGGTCTCAGTGTGGCTTCCCACCTTCATGGTTATGGGTTTGCTTCCAGGCCTCCTCTGTGTGTGGAGTTTGCATGCTCTCCCTGTGCTCAGGTGCATTTCTGTCCAGATATTCGGCTTTCCTTCTAGAAGCACCTAGGTTCCGTGTGACCCTCTACTGCAATGTTTTTTGACACGGTTCTCCGAGATGCTCAGACAGTCTATGTTCTTGCCCAGAGCTGGGAGGGAGCAAAAACGTGGAGCATCTGGGGCTCCCTGAGAACCGGGTTGGGAAACACTGCTCTCCTGGATAAGCAGTTATGGGAAATGGATGGGGGTGTCACAGTGCAGTGCATTGTCACTTCAGACATCAAGGGTTGAGGGCTGGAATCCAGTCCAGGGTTTGCCCACCCCATGTGTCCTATTCTACCTGTGATAGGTTCTAGATCCATCCATAACCATACACTTAGTGGATGGATAATCATTTGTATTGTTTTTTCATGCAGAACATTATGGCAACAGCTTCACCACCTGTAGAAGAGCTTCCTTCAGGCCTGCCTCCACTACCTTCATATGAAGAAGCTGTGAGGCTCCCAAACATCCCGAACCCAGTTCCACCTCCACCAGACTATGCCAAGACCATGCAAGAGCCGTGTCCACCACACGTGAACAGTCCACCCCCAATAATTAGCCCACCACAAGGTAAGGGCTTTCTTCTCATACTCAGCTGATTTTAGTTTGCATCATAGCTTGTACCTGTGATTCGTGAAAAGATGTTTGAAGATAGGTTATGTTAGAAGGCTGAGATCTCGTGTAGTAGAGGTTTAAGACTTTGGTGTTGTGTGTTAAGCTCTAAATCTTGAACTGTGATCCTGGATCACAGGATGATGTATTTCTGTTAATATTCTGATTCATTGTCGCAGTGTGCCATAAATTTGCTACCTCTCAGTTATGCATGAAATACTCCAGACCAAGTTATCCTGACTTAATTGTTACCGTGTCATACACACTGCATGTTGCGTTGCTTTTCCCAGTGACTGTGCAGAACGTGGTCTGTCAGCAGTCTCTGGGGGAGAATCCAGTACAGATCCAGTGTCCTGCGTGCCTGCAGGTGGTGGTGACCCGGTTGGAGCACAGCTCAGGCATCCTCCCCTGGATCCTCTGTGCTAGCCTCTTTATCGTGGGGTAGGTGAGCCACACAACCTTGAAAACAACCAGAGCTCTCATTTAGGTTTGAAGTCCAGACAAGCAAGATGAAACCAAAACATGATCCTCAGTCTGCCAGCGATCATCTCGGCGGGGTGGGGGTTCAGATTCAGGGGCCCCGGCTCTTTACAGGGGCTCCTGACTTTGTAACGTTATCCTGCATGTTACAGGATCATCCAGGATTTCAAATCCAGTGTCTTCATACACATATTTTGTATTTTTGCATCCACTCAGCAAATATTTCTGGTTTTTTTTTTTGAAAGTAGAAACTAGCAGGGGGATTTTGTCAGGGGGTGCAGTTTTATCACCTACACACCTTCACACCACACAGAAGGTCACCGATCATTTGGCCGCCTTTCTGGCCGCTATTCGCCCAAGCAGCTGGGCTTAATCTCACTGTCCCTGTGGACCTTCTCCCTTCCAGCTGTTCCTATGGGTGCTGCCTGATTCCGTTCTGTTGGGACGGCCTGAAGGACGTGACACATTACTGTCCCAACTGCCACCAGGTCCTGGGAGTCTTCAGGCGCTTGTGATGTCAGAGAGCAGCACTGCCTGGCTACGTTGCGGAGGTCAACCATCATCATGCTTATGAGATGAAGAGGGAAAATGAGTAAAATAAGGAAGCACTTTTTTTTATTCAGCAAATTAAGCTGCACTGGCAGCCCACTCTGGGTGTCCCCTGCCTTGTGTCCCCTGCTTCTAGGGATGGGCTCCAGGCTCATTATGACTGTCCTGAGTGAGGCTAATTAGGGATCATGGCAATTAAGAAACACTAGTAACACTTGGACACTTTCATATATATAAAAAACTTTCTCAAAATTATGAACATTAGCAAGTCTTGATAATTGTAACAAATCAAAGTCTGAATCGAATCTGTATTTATCATCAATCTGAATTAATGTGAAATTTTTAGCAGTCAAGAAGGAATTATCTCCTCTGCGGAATGAAGTCGATGTATTTTGCTGTGGGGGTTGCTAATGGCAAATGACTGGTTTGAATTCAAGCTGTTTTTGTGACTGGAATTCTGTTCATATGAAGGGACATTCTTTGGTGCTTAATGTGTGGTTATAAGGACATTAAAATGTGGCTGTTTTGAATGGCTGTTTCTTTTTAGAGTTATTTCATCATACAGCTTAATATTTGGGAACATATAAAGGAACTAACATCAATAGTCATGAAGTATGAGTGGGTAGCACTGCTGCCTTACACCTACACCTCTGCTCTGCGTGTGTGGAGTTTGCATGTGCTCCTTATGTGAAGCGTGTTTCCTCCTCTTGCCTGATTGGTGTTTGGAAATTGCCCATCGCATATGATGGTGTATCTATGGGTCCTGGGACGGACCGGCATCTCATCCAGAGTGTTACCCCAATCTTGACCTCTGTGCTGCCTGAGATAAGCTCCAGGACTCCCTGGGATCCCAACCAGAATAAGGGCTGAAAGATTGCTGAAGAAAAAATGAGTTCACTAAGTTTTCACCACATTTTAACACACCATACATGCAGACAGCAACGTTTGAGGAAATGCCTTCAAAAACTGATTGGGCCTCGGTCTTATTAGGGGGTGTGGCCACCACAAGTGCCCATTTCCAAAGCTCAGCTTGAGTCAGCCATCCTTATTTTTTGTGACACCGGAGACAATCGAGCAAGTGAGTGTAAGTACAGGCTTTTCTGTCTGTTGATTTGTCTAGATTCTTTAAGAGTTACGTTTTACATCGTAAAGCTGACTCAAAACCTGTTGATTGCCATATTGGTCATTTTCACTATTTATATACCCGCAATATTAAATATGTAGTATTTAATGTGAAAGATGAAATATGTGTTTTTCTTTTAAAAGGGAAAATGGCAAATGTTCCAGCCTACCCTCAGCCACTTGTTGGTATGTTAGCATTTAAAATGTGCTCTTTATAAAATAATGATGTTATATGGTTGTGCTATTTATTCATAACTGCGTGTCTTCCTTGTCTCCCCCTCAGGGAGACCTGTGAATTTCACAGACAGCCCGGTCCAAGTGATTTGCCCTGTTTGCCATCAGACCGTTGTGACCAAAGTGGAATTCTCCTCTGGACTGCTTACATACCTCTTCTGTGGGGGCCTGTTATTCTGTGGGTATGTAGCAGAATATATAATAGTATAATGCATATATAATTATAATGTATCGTATTACAAAAACGGCACGTAAAAACCAGGCATATGCATTAGAGATCAGTCAACATGCATATGTAGTCATATGTGATTGAAGCATCAGGATACAGAGACATTACATGTTTTTTGCCTCTAAGAAGCATGTGATGATGATATGCTTCCTTTGGCTGTTATTGTCTGTGACTGAAACGTCTGTTTATATTTTGTACTTGATTTTCAGGTGTGTACTGGGCTGCTGCCTTATCCCTTTCTGTGTCAACCGCCTGAGAAATGCCACTCACATCTGCCCAAGCTGCAAATCTGTACTCAGTGTCTATAAGCGCCTCTGATTACAGTCATTCCTCTGTAACTCTTAGCTGGGTTTCAGTGCCTCTATACCACAGATTCCTGTGTACAGGGCTGAATTGTTCCAGTTAGCATTCCTTGGAAATAGCCTGGATCACAAGACCAGTTTGCTGTTACTTTAATTTGATTTTGCTGACCAGGAATGTCATTGAAAATGTGTGTCCCTGAAAATATGGTAAAACTGTATATCATTGCAAGGCAATGTTCTTCTCATGTTTCTTTGAATCCTAATCAGTCTGTTACCATGGTAACAAAACCTGTTTTCTGCATCACCTGTCATGCAGTAGGCATGTTTTTAATTATTAATATAATTTGGGAAATTGTCAGTATAAGTTTTTTGGTTGCTTTCTGACAGGGCTCAGACCCTCTGAGAATTAAGGCACTACTCTTGGGATAGGAAAATAAAACGGTGTGTTAAATAGACAGAAATGCAAGTTGTAGTTATTTGTGCACATATATAGAGCTCTGGAAAAAAATGAGAGACCACAGCAAAAAATTTTGTTTCACTCATTTCTCAATTGATGGGTGTGCATCCATGAATAAAATGTTTTTGCAAACTGCAGCCTGGCTCATCCCTGCTTCTCATTAATGAAGGGCTTCTTCTTGTTTATGAGACTTCAGTCCTGCTTCTAGGAGCCTGATGCATACTGTCCTAGCAGTGCACTTCACACCACTTAATGGTTCCCATTCTTTTTGAAGGTCACTTGATGTCATCGTCAGATATGAGGCACTGCCAGATAAGTTGACGGTCATCTCCGGCATTAGAAAGTTGCTTCTGCTCTCTACCTGGCTGATTTTTGGTAATTCGCAGTGTCTCCTGCTTCACCTTGTTCTTCTACTGCTGTCTTTGAAACTTTGAGCCTGGAAGTAGCCTGACACAGTGTAACCTTGTGCTAATAGAACCAGGATTAAACCAGGATTTAAAAATGCAGATTTCATTATTTTTTTTTTAAATATAGGGTGGTCTCAATTTTTTCCAGAGCTGTTTATGTATGGTGATCGCTGAGTCATTCAGTTAATATTTAGCTCTGTGTTTTGGGATTATTGAGTCTAACACTAGGATGAACTCTTATTGATCATGGTGGTGTGTTTGACCTGCAGGTTATTGAGTGATTTTTGCGGTTAATGGATTTGTTTATATTCAGATCATAGTATGATCATTAACACGCTGGCATATGACCACAGTGGAGAGGGACGGTTGGTCTTGTCAGTATGGAGATGAAGGGTGTTTTTCTGAAAATAAGGACTGATAATCCCCTGCCACCTGCATCAAGCTGTCTGGTTACTCAGCAGAGTGAGCAGCTCATTCGTCATGCACTAGCGCTGAGCACACGTCTCCAAGTCACCAGTAACCTGCTGATACCATTATTCATGAACCTTGCCATTCGTTGCCAGGGTTTATAGATTCTGTGATTTTGTGTAGTGATGGTTCATGAAGCCTCATTTGGCTATTCGTTGTATTCTCTGACCCCACAAGATGGTGCTTTCCGTTCAAAAAAAGGCCTTAAAGCCCAAAGGCAACCCAAGATCGCCATCTAGTGGAGTTAAAAAATACAGCAAATAGTTCATGAAGCTTCATTTGGCCATAACTACTTTTCTGCATCCAAAGTAGTTCTCAGCCATCACATGCCGTCATTGATGATGAGATGCGGGGAGATGGTGATCGTGTGGTTGGTGAGCACCTTGAGTTTGTGTGTGTGTGTGTGGGGGGGGGGGTGGGGGGGGGGGCACAAATCCCATCAATTCTGATCTCGCATCGTGTTGGGATGGATAACAAGCCACCCCAGACATCTGCAAATAAAATTTTAATCAGAGTACAAAAATGCATGTCAGCAAAAAAATCTCAGGTAACCAAGTGTTGTTTTTAAGTTCTGCCATTCAACATCTGTAGTAATTTTTTCCATCCGTTTTTAACCTGCTCACCAGTTAAAATGCAGCTGCACACCAGGTAAGCCTTATATCTAAAAGGATTCTCAACACACTTTATGAAAAACCTTAAATAAAACCTAGCATGTCATTACGGAATGAATACCACAGAGCAGAGCTTTCAAACTGCCTGTGAAGAGATGGCTACCTTAAATGTCGCAGCAAAAACCATGAAGGCTGAATTAGCCTTTACACAACCAAGCCAAAAACCTGTAATACCGACACAGCTTGACATACCGCGACAATAAAAAACAGGGTGATTTCACGGCAAACCACAAACCAAGTCCTTTTCATTTGAAGATTGCCTTTATTGTTGAACAGTCCTTCCCAGAAAACTGGCATCTTGGCAGAGAAATTCCTGCAGCCATTCCTGCAGTCGGGTGACATTTCAGAGACACGGAACAGACTGCTTTCGACGCTTTGGGAGCTGTAAGGGTTTCCTTGTCCTGGTGAGATCGGCACATGTTTTTGACGGTTTACCGTCGGGTACAGAATTCTCCCTGTAAAAATCAAGGAAGGAGGAGGGGGTTGAATTCAGTCTGTCTGCTGCAGGCTGTGTTTTGGCATCCCTCCGCAGAGGAAGGGGGCTGCGTCGGCTGGTTGTCCTGCAGTGTGAGACTTTCGAGACACATTAGAGCTTGAACTCATTTTTAAATTTAAAAAGGGGAAGAGCTGGTGCTGGCTGGGAAGTGAAAACCGGCCAGGATCGCTCCAGAAATCCGCTTCAGAGACGAGCTCCAGAAATCCGCTCCAGCGACGAGCTGCAGCTTCATCCCGGGTTGACAGCACATCCACACGACGGTCACTGTCCGCTCAGGAAGGCCAGATGTCCCTTTGTGCATTTGTTGGCATAGTGCCCCTTCTCTCCACACTGAGAAAAAGAAAACAATTATCAGTCCTGACATACAGCATATGCAAGAAAGGAACCCTTAGATTCAGCTGTAGAGTTATCAAATACTCAGAAAAGACTGGAAATACAATCCTATTTATGAAATACAGCAATAAAAAACAATTTGCGTCATTGTACAAAAGAATCTTACAGCAAATTATAACATAACATGGTATTAATCAATTCACATGCATAATGAGTAAAATGAACATCAAATGATCTTCTTAGCATAATATATTTTCACAATCCAGACAATTCGCCGTGCCTGGACCCTCCCTGACCTGCCCAGTGAGGCTAATTACCTTGTAACATGTGACCTGTTCCAGTGGGCGTGGTCCTCTGTGCCCAGTCGTGTTGTTGTTTGAATGCACGGCCCCAATGACTTGCGGCGTCCTCTGGTATTGCTGTTGGTGGTTGGTGTTGACTTTAGAATTGGTTAACTGGATCAATGACGAGGACGACCTCATATTCATGGGCTGAATATTTAGCTAAGAGAAAGAAGAAGAAACTACATCTATCCCCAGCCAAGCTGCGCTAATTCTACACTAAGTGATCTTTACGTTTGTACGTCAAACACACGGAACGTACATGCAGGGGACTCCAGGGATGCACACAGCCTACATCAGCAGAGTAACACCTGAGCACTGCGTACCTTTTGCTGGTTCTGGATTTGCAGTGGGAGTGGTTGTTGTTCCGTGGTCCCCATGGGCAACTCAAACCGTGGGCTGCAGGACATAACTGACACAGTTAGGTTCTCTATTCATCAAAAGCTGCTTAGGCAGTTGTAGACCCTGAACGAAATGCCAGTGCATTATGCACACAATCACACGCACTATACAGGAGAAAACCAGAGAACCCAGAGGAAAACCATGTGATACAGAAAGAATATATGAATCTCTCTCTCTCTCATACACACACACACACACACACACAAAGACCTGTACTCATATCTTTGTGGGGACCATCCATTCATTTCTAATGTCAGCAATAACAACCTTACCCCAGCCCTAACCTTAACCATAGATAACAAAAAATAAATAAAATACACGACTTTTGGCATTTTTACTTTTTTGATTGCATTCACAGATTTTAAAAAATTTGAGGTTATACTTAAACCATCACTACTTTCCTGCATCCAAAGCAGATTCCAGCCATCACATGCCATCACCTTTAGACCAGAAAAATGGTCCCCACAATGTCAAAATAACAGATGGTTATCACATTGTGGGGACCACATATCCCCACGACATAAGGCATACCTGGACCACACCCACACCCACACACACACACACACACACACACACACACGGGATTCTAACCCCCAACCCAGGAGGTATGCAGCCACCACACTGCCGCTATTTTATAAATTATATGGCAAAAGTATACATTGGATTAAAGGGTTAAAAAAAAGAACTCACTGCATAAATTTGCAAGACCGGCCTTCTGGACAAAAGCCCACCAGGTAGTTGACACAGATAACTCTCCTGGTGTGTCGGTGTCTGCAGTCAGGACCTGTAAGAGCAGTCAGAACAAGTATAAGTATATATACATAAATCAGGTGGCGTTTATGCATGTGGAACACAGCCCCACGTAACTCATGTTCTGCATGAGTATTTGTAATTTACAGTTCATATTACAGACCGACATGTAAAACGCTCACCATGTTTGCAGAATCCTCTGTCATACCAGGGACAGTCCTTAATCTTTGACTCGGGGTCAATGTGCAAGAATGGACATTCCTTATTACTGCACTCGCCTGCAGAGACGTTTGAGAATCAGTCAGCCTGAGGGACGACCCGAAAGGCATCGGTCTGCTCTGTAGATGTGTGGCAGGCCCACTCACCGAACTTGGAGTAGAAGTAGCACTCGGGCATCTTGGTCATGTCGTACTCATGAAGGAACTCGCACTGGTCGCCTTTTTTACAGAGACCCCGCAGCCAGTGCTTACAAACCACCGTTTTCTCCCCGCTGATATGGCGGAATGGACACATGCCACCTTCAAAACAGAGGAACACACAGGAAATACAACAAGAGGCAGTGGGTACTGAAATTAAGAAAACGGACGCAAACACCACAGCACCAAGTAGTAAAGAAAACAGTCATTAGAAATAAATAAGTATATATTTTTAAAATAACTCAGAATATTAAAATAACTACCATGTTATAATCAGTAGGGATTTAAATTTACGTTGATGGCTCCCCGGATTAACGGTAAACGGTATCGAAACTGAAACGAGATTTTATACCTACCCTTTAAACAGGCTGCTTTCATGAAAAATTCACACACAGCCGCTCCTGATTCTGAAAGAAAGTATTGTGAAAGTACAGATAAAGTACAGTAAAGGACATTATCGTTTTAAATAACAATCCTCTACATGAAACGCGATGTACAAAAACAAGGTATTATTAATACGTTAATTTTGTATTTGAAAATGAGCCAATCGATCAATGTTTATTTGACTTGGCGGCGCTGTGTATTATGTCACGGAAGACGCGCCACTTCTATGTTAACTTACTATAGCGACCAGAACTTTTGTGCGATCTAATAATTTTATCGGACTGAAGGGCTAGCTGATGAAATATTTGCACTTACTGTCCATTCCTGGGAAGGGTAAAGGCTGAGCGCCCAGTTGCTGCTCAACAGCAAGTTCCAGATCAAATTTGATATGATCCACTGTAGCTATCAAGTCCTGCATGTTTCCCACCTGTGAGAGACCAGCTATGCACAAACCAGGATCTAATCGAGCAAAAACACGCGTTTATTGAAAATGCTTCCGCTGAAATTGAGGCACGTGGAAACGTAAGCTTTTCGTACAAATATGAGATAAATTACTTTCAGAGACTGATCACTTTTCTTCAACAAGAAAATCCCTCTCCCTCCTGCCGAAATCCCGACGACCTGAACTCCGAACTCCGACCTTCCAGGCCAGGCTAATCGAACCCAGAGTAAAGGCTGCCGCGCTCCGTGAATTGACAGAATTGGTTTGGAATTAATTCACAGTATTTAATTCGAATTATACGAACAGTATGAATGTAGAACGACTTTCGTTGTTGCCGCCTTTGTTTGTGAAAAACTTAATGGTTCTTGAAAACTTGCATCTACTAGTTGGCCTGGGCAGATCAGACCTTCGCGAGGACAGAGGTAACCATGTGAGTGTTTCCCATATGGCTGCTGCGCAAGGCCATGCTGTGTGAGATTAAACTTATTTCGCGAAGTATATTTCTCATATTTCTCCTTATTTTGAAATTTCATTGAATTCTCTACAGCTAAGCGAATGGCGCTGGATGTGAGTCTATTACCAGATTTCATATTAAGATGCAAACTTAAATTCCACACCAATATTTCAACATTGATGTCTGACTCGTAGTTCTGACAGCTTCCTGATACCTGGATTGCTTTCATGTCAGGAGATAGCTGGCATGAGGACAGTATAACGAATTATTTCCTTAAACACAGAAGTGTTTTTTGAGGTATTACGTTTATGACGAGAATGTCTCTAAGGTTTATTCTACGCGGACGAGCTATTCTCAACCATAGCCTCAAATACTATACTGGGTCAACTTGGGAAAATCATGGGGGAAATGTGTCTGTATTTAAAACCGTGACGTCGGAGAATATTGTATTTGGACACAGTAGAAGATTTAGTTCGTCCGTCACTTCACAAAATAATTCCCATAATCACAAGGTGGATCAGAGGGGTCCATCAGCATCAGATATCTGTGACAAGGACACGAATGTTGGAACCGGACATGGCTTTGGGTCCCTCTCTTCGAGGTTTTCATCCCGAAAGTTTTTTCGCAAGACGTCACCCGAAGTCCAAGATTATGCGTACAGCAGTGAAAATGCAGAGGATGAAGCTGAACTGCGACCCAGGCCAGTCAGAAGAAACACCCAGTACTGGTATTTCCTTCAGTGTAAGAAGCTGATAAAGAAAAACAAGGTAAACTTTGGTAATACCTTCACTTTACGTATATAGCCAATATCAGGCGATGAAAGAAAACCCATGAATTAATTGCATGATAATTATAGCTCTGTATGAATTATTTGTTTTTCAGTAATTTGAAGTACTGGAGAGAACATGGAAGTGTTTCAAGTGTATTTCCTTGTTTTCCTCTGTTTTAGCTGGCTGAAGCACTGGACATGTTTGAGACGCAGATGCTGAAGGTTGAGCGGCTGCATCCAGAGGAATTCAATTACACTGTGTTGATAGGGGGCTGTGGCCGCGTCGGCTATGTGAAAAAGGCTTTCAGGCTTTACAGTGATGTGAGTGGAAGTCTCTGCTGGTAAAATAACACCTACATATCGCTTCCAAGTTATTGCTGCAAGGTTTAAAGCCAGGTTGTTTTTGTACAGAACTAATTTTGGCATGGGAGAAGTGTAAGGTGTCTAGTTAATCTAAATAATGCTGCTTAAAGTTTAACTCACAATATTCAATATAAAGATCCTCAGCAAGTATTATGAATAGAACCATAAAGAGAAACCAGGCATGTGCTCATAGTATTTTTCTATGAAAACTAGCTCATCTGACCTGCCTTCCATCTTGATTGGCCATCCCTTGGTCATTATGGTCTCCTGGCAACACTGGACACTGTTGTGTTTTGCAGTTGTTTAGCAGGAATCTCCTCCTCATGTTGTTTTGATCTGACTAGCTCCTTCAAATGTCAGGTCCTTACAATGTTATGTAATGTTTTGTGTATCTCTTGCTAACTTGCACTTGTTACTGGTCACTCACTGGAAGGTCAGTCTAGCTGAGCTAGTACCTAAGTTGGTACCTTCACAACTTTATGCTTGTGACATACTGCCCCGTAAAGGCAAAACACAGTTAACACAGTTTGTCATAAGTGAGTTATGACGTCTTGGGCTCTGTTTTATCTTGTGACAATCTTAGTATGACTGTCCTCACTTTTGAAGACAACGTGAAAATTACGGACTCTATGAAATTAACACTAAAACGAAGGCAAAACAGCCTTTTCCTCAGTTTCATTCAGTGTGTAGTTAGTGTGTTTCGCCTTTGTAGGACTTAAGCATCTGCTAAACAGATTTAAGTGAAATTATTCTACTTAATGACAGATGAAGAAGCGGGGTCTTGTTCCCACCGACGCGACCTACACCGCTCTGTTCAACGCCTGTGCCGAGTCTCCCTGGAAGGAGTCCGGCCTCCAGCAAGCCCTCAGCCTTCAGCAAGAGCTCAGGAGGAAGAACGTGCAGCTGAGCACCATCACGTACCATGCTCTGCTCAAGACCCACGCGCTCTGCTCCGACCTCCGGGGCTGTTTCCACGTGCTGCGGGTGAGGGAGGCGCTGCTCCTGGTTTCTTTGTCCAAAAGCGGCCTCTTGCATGCCCCCCCAGGTGCCCTGTAATTGAAATTCACCATTGCAGGAGATGATGCAGAGTGGCCACATCATCACACATGAGACATTCAACTTTTTGCTGATGGGATGCATTAAAGACCAAAAAGATGGCTTCAGGCTCTCCTTACAGGTCAGGGTTGCATTTTGAACTTCTCCTTGCATTATTTACGCATATGGAATGTCCAAATGCAGTTTTTTAGCCTATGTTTATTTATTTATTTATTTATATATATATATATATATAGGTTTGGCGCCAGATGCTGAAGTGTGGAATAAAGCCCAATTCGCACAGTTATAACCTGCTCCTCCGCGCCGCTCGGGACTGTGGCATCGGCGACCCGGCTGTGGCCTCCCTTCTGCTGCTGAGGGTTGATGGGGCATCGGACCCCAATGCGACAAGACGAGGACGGGGGTCGAGGGAGCGTGAAAGAGTTCAGGAACCGCACGTGATGGATTTCGACGTGGATGCCTTCGAAAGGCAGGTCTTCGTGGAAAAGGACCCAGGATGCTGTGATACGACGGGGCATGGTGGTGGTGTGGTCTCCGACAGGGGGGGTCTAGATGGGACATCCCTGAGTGAACAGACTGGGTTTCGACAGCACAATAACCCCAGCCAGCTCCCCACCCCAGTACTGGGCCGAGTATGTCACGACCAGTCCGCTCCCATTCAGCGTCTTGGTGAGAACTTGCCCAACCTTCTCAACGTTGGAGCTGTCCATTCCAACGTGGTCTCCCTGGGGAATATAGCCCACCCCTGGGACAGGCTGGCGCTCATGGGGGGCATGGAGGGCTTCCTGAAGAAGATGCTCTCTGACAGCCTGACGCCCGACATCAAGACGCTGACGCTGCTGAGCGAGGTGACGGAGCCGGGAGACGCGGCGGAGGCAGGCCTGGCGGTGGAGGCAGGCCTGCTGTCCCTTTCCGAGCAGTACCGTCTGAAGCTGGACATTACCTTCTTTAACACGCTAGTGAGAAAAAGAGCCCGAGCAGGAGACTTAAACGGAGCAAAGGTCAGGAATATTTCCCTATAATTACCCCAGAGACACCGCAATATCACTGAATGTAATGGCAACATCATTTTATTTAACAATTTATCATTAATTCAACTAACCTATTAGATATTATAGGGTACACCAATGCTATAATATACGGTTATTAAATTACTACATTATCATGCATTATATATTATTCATATATAACACATCAGGGTGGAGGGAAATCGATTCAGTTACAAATCGTGGTTTTTCGAGGTGGTGATTTTTATATCGGCATTTGAGTTTTAAATATCAATGTAAACGCAGGTTACTGTCATTATGTTGGTCACATTTGTTAGTTCTAGTACATTTGTCCAGTTGCACACACGTTTTTAAGGGACTGACATGTGCGCGACTGATTTTGAGGTTTTCTGAGTATGATGACGAAATTGTTTTTCTAATAGCTATGGAGCATGTGAAAATTATGCCAACAAAAATAATGTTTAGAAATAGTGCATTATAACTAGGTTATGCCAGAAAACACATGCTTAGGCTGTATCACGATATGATATTCAAATTGATGATTAAATGAATGTTCATTGTCTAGTGTTGTAGTTCTCGAAACCGGTCTTGGCTCTAGACCACTTTTTTGCGGTCTTGATTTGGTCTTGGACATGGAGGACTTGAGGTTGTATTTCAAGGTCGGTTAAGACCACTCATCAAAATGCCCCGATATTTATCACAACGGCTTAATATTTATCTGTTTAACATTAGAACCTGACAAATGCAAACTGTGTGATTTTTCGCCCCCATTAATCTCGGGCTCATAACTTTGGATAGTTATAACGCACAGACATGAATCGCATATGTTTGCGATCCAGAGAACTTACTTGATCCAGCTGTCCAAATTGCAGCGTTGTGTATAATGTATTCCAGAGTAATCCTGTGCGCAAGGAAGCATATATTTTAATACATTTTCCACTAAAAAGCACGCCTAACACTGTTAAAACACTAATATTATTCACATTAGACAGAAAACAAAGTGCATATAAAATCAAAGATATTCATTTCCGCCTGGTACTAACCATGTATTCCTTCACAATACTAAGCCATTGAAAGGTCCCCAGTGAAAGCCCTGCATTCTCATATCATGGAGACTCTAATCTCAACATTTATAAGATTATATTTGTAGTGCCTGCAAATTGTTATATTAGATGAGACTAAAAATTGAGATAGGGTTCAAAGGGTTAACAGTACTGTGACTGGGTGTAAAACATCCTGCTTGAAAGTTCGAATGCAACCAATAAGATGCGTCTTATTTGAAAAAATGTTACATTTGCACCGAAGCATTTATATTTGTGCTATTTAGAAGAAGCTCACCTTGTAAACCATCCCTTTCAGGCCCTTATTCCCATGCTGGCTGAAAGGGGTTTGACAGCCGATCTTCAGACTTACTGTAGCCTGGCTGTTGGTTGCAGCAGAAAGGAGGATGGACTGCAGCTGCTTTCTGAAATGCAGGTGAGATGAGTGTATTTCTGGTGCCTGGATCAGGGGTGACACCAGCATTTTGCCAGATCGCCGAAGCTGAAAACCACAGCCATAGTGTATGCTGTTTAGGCATAATGTAGAATGGGGTCAAAGCAGTACTAGAGTGGCTTAAGATTAAGGTCAATGTGCTTCAATGACTTCCTTGAACCTTGTGGATGGGCAGAGGTTACATCAAGGCCATGAGAAGATGGTGGATGTGTGACATGTCCTCCCTAATTAATCTTTGAGAAAATCAAGTATGTCACAGAACAGGACTCTGAAGGATGGACCACAGTCTTGTTTTCTGAACATGTGCTTTGATGTATCACAATGATGGACTGGTGTTCATGTGGCTTGTTAAGTGTGTCGTGTATTTGACCGTAGGCTTCTGGGATCGTTCCTAATACCCACGTGTACAGCGCCCTCATCAGTAGTGCTTCTAAACGGCTGGACTACATATATTTGAAGGAGATTCTCAAAAGCATGAAGCACAACAAGGTCGCCCCGACGGAGGTCGTCATACGGCAGCTCGAGTTCGTAGCTCAGTATCCGCAGAAGTACGACAGGGTAAGTTATCAACTGTCTTTACATCTCACTGAATGTAGATGGCTACCTTTACCCAGAATCAGGCATACGGAGAATCACACACATATAAATTGCTAAATTAGAGAGTATTGTTTTCATCCTTTTTTGCAGTACAAAACAAGAAATACCTATCTGGATAAAATCGATGGTTTCCGAGGTTACTACGCTCACTGGCTCAAGTCGATGCCCGGCCAGGAGACTCCGCATCCTTGGGAAAGGTTTAAACTGCCAACACGAGAGCCTGAAGATGTCAGTGAAGAGAAGAATCAGGCCAAAGAATAACGTTAGAAAGTAGTACTCTGTACAAGCAATGCCTATGTGATGGAAAAACGAATGTCCGTTATATTCAGGAAGTCACTAAGTCTCTTGAATAGTGTTTATTGTACTGTAGGGAGTACAAATGTACTCGTACTTTTTGTGTTTGAAATGTGTGAGGGAAGGACGTGAGTTCATAAATCAGATGCTGATCATAGTCCTGTGTACTGTTAATACATTGTTTGGGGCAGTTTATATAAAGATATGTAATTTATTAGTGCAAGAATGTTCTTCAGAGTTCAGGCCCAATGCACCCATTCTTAATTAATAAATCAAAATAATCACACCTGCTGAGGTTTGCTTTTTTGCAATGTGGGCATCATGCATGAATGTAGGAAAAGAGGAACGTGGGAAGATGACTTCCAGTATTCAGTCGGCTTTATTTGGCTTCCTGTGCTAACAGAAGATAGAGGCTGGCCGAAGGAGGCAGAGAGTAGTCTGTGAACCGCCGTCACGGGGATAATTGGGGCTTGCACACTTCTGCTGAAAACCAGCTCCAACTGGTTTATTCCACCGTGCAGAGTGTGCCTGAGAACCTCCCTGCTAAGTCTTTGTTGTGAAGCTTAATTGAAAAGCGCTTGTTATTCTGTAATAGCTTATTTTGTAGCTCAACAAACTATGAGAGAAACGGTTTACACCAACTGTTTAAGTGCGGAAATGACTGCTGAAGTATGAAATGGGATGATATTTTAGAAGACTGATATATCTTCTAAACATTAATTTACAGGAGCATGTTCATATATAGCATCATATTACAGCAGAAAGATGTGTTATTGCTAACATTAATAAGGCTAAGTATGCACTTTGCATCATTACATTTTTCTGGATGTAATCATACTTTCGCAACATCTTAGATGCTTATTACTCCTGAACAATTTTTCATTGCACGTTGCAAAAATAAATCCACAATTACACTACACTGCTGTCAGTATCAATGCCATTTTCTTTATTAGATATAATTTTCTGTGTACAATTAACAGTACATAGATAAAAAGAAAAATAATAAATAATCTGTGAATTTAATTTTTGTGCAAAATCAATACCGAAAATACAGACTGTTACAGTTTGTCATATTAATGCTCTAAATAATTAGCAAACGATAAGAACTTTAACCACACAGACTCTCACTCGCTGTACCTCACACTCACATCAACATGCACTAACACACAAAGGCAGTATGGATATACCGTGCATACACAGATCAGATCACGAGGCATTAGATCAGTCTGCCTCATTTTTAGCTACAAATCCTGTAACGTTTAACTCTGAAAACATGATCTGAGTTTTTGAAAAGTACCTCAGACAATCTGGAAAAATATTTTATGAGGTATGCAAAATAAATGAGTCGGTATACAGTATATATAGCTGATTACTGGAGTGGTTGGTCTTCAACAACTTCAGGGCTGTCAATCCAGTATCAGCGTTTGATGGTAATGAATCTGAAAAGGGTACATTTAAAAAATCCAGAGCATAGACCAACCGATTCCCCCGAAGGCTTTACTGCATTATGGCTTATTAAAGAATAACATTAAAAACCACCGCTTGCAAAAAGCAAAAAACACTATGGCGGCTTCAATCATTTTAAACAAGATTTGTTCTGGAAGGCAGCATACACCTTTGGGATGTGGACCTACACACATCCCTAATCACTGGCACCAATCGAAGCCGGCGGAAATCACATCATTTGGCGTAAATATGTAACACTGTGGTTGCTTAAGGACCTCATGGCTTTGTACAACACTCTCAATAAATTAAGAGGCCACTACGTTTATATGAGACATGAGAATTTGCCAAATGGAACCGTATTCATTTTCAGAAACAATGGGATCAGCTAAATGTTAAGGATATTAAGTTATGATGATTAATCATATTATGTTCAACAATTATTATTACTAGCATTGATTCAAATAAACAACTGATAACGTGGAATTAATGATAGCTGATCCCAGACTCACACATATACATACATCATAAAATATGTTTTTAGCATGCAATGACATTTTTATATTACACCATGCACAGAACCCAGGACCCTGATTGAATATTGATTTCCATCTATGATTATACTCATAACTTAACCCAGAACCCCATATTTTTTTCTTATAGGTTAATTCATCTGTCTGCCCCGACATCAAAGATCAGCAGCTAAAATGGTTTCCATGTTCAGATATTTCGGTAGTTAGTCATCACTCAGCCTTAACGTCGGACACTTTAGAAATGATAAACTGATTATTAGTGTTTGTTTACAGACACAGTGATTTTCTCCTAGTGGATGGAAAAAAAGCTGAAACGAATGCGAACAGGTGCCAGGTGAGATGTCCGCAGCGTAATGGAGCACTCAGCTCTGTGTGGTACCATGGCCTCTGCACGCGTCTCTCCTGCTCGCTCTCTCTGCATAATAGTAAGTGATCAGAAGGCAATAGTGTTCATCACACCACAGCAGAGGGAGTAGTCGTTTCATGCAAGCCACTGCATTCCTGCAGAACCGGGCCAGACCCGTGCCAGCTCTGAGCATTTCCCAATCACCCACGCTAAAGCACATCCCAGTTCCACTCCCATCGATTCCCCATCCATCCTTCCCCCGCTCCCAGTTCATGTTCTTAGTTAAGATTCTCAAGGTTTCTTTTTTTTTTTTTTGCACAATCATTCACAAAACATCAGAAGATGTCAGGAAATGTCACTGATTCCAAAGGTCTCGGTGGCCCTAAGCCCTCAGAACATTTTCTGGTGATAAAATGCCAACGAGATGAAAATACCTGTTTTGGCAGAAAAAAAGTCAGCAGCATCCCCTCGAGCATTCGGTACGTCATTTCTACACCACATGTACAATCGTGGCACAAAAACAGCACGTAACCTGAAAGTCCTTCTTTGATAAAATATATATGCACGTTAACATCATACAACATGTTTTCGAGATTAAATTCTCTTAGTCAAAATACCCCTCTGTTGGGGTTATGATTTTTGCTCATAATACAGTATATTAGTTGCTATTCTCCCATTCATATGGCTCTCAAATAACACACACAGATTAAGTACTAACAGCTTACAAAGTACAAGAGGAAAAATCACGGCAAACGTGTTCATCAGACTTCACATTCACAGGCATTTGGGAAAAACAAAAAAAACATGTAAAATTCATTAGGTCTCTAGACATTCTTACCACAGCATGACTGGAAAATAAAACTTTAGAACAAATAGGTCAGTAATGCAACCCGGCACACATGACATACTCACATCTATATTTTATACACGACGCTGGTAACGTAATTAAAGCCAAAGATGGGGGGGTTGACCCCCTTCCCGGGCCCTCGCAGGTAATGGCATTTGATGAGCTCAGACAGGAACTGCAAGACCTTGCCGTCCTCCGGATCGCAGCTGAAGTGACGCAGGAATTGCGTCCTGCGAGCGGCCACGACTTCCTGGTCCTCGCTGGGGTTCACGGAGAGATGCAGGTGGTGGCAGAAAGTGTACAGGAAGGCCTTGGCGCAGAGCTGCGTCAGCGAGCTCTGCGCGTGCAGGAAGTAGGTGCTGCCATGCTTGATCTGCGTCCGGTGGTCGGCCAAACGCTCCACCAGCGTTCCTCTGTATGGGGGGCAGCGTAGGGTCTTCTGATCGGCATCCAGGATGCTGATGTAGCGGCCATAGCGCTTCAGGGAGTGGAGGATGCTGAACCCCGCTGGAGAGGTGACCCTGAAAAAGCAGAGGGGATGGGGGGGGTGGGGCGTAATGCATTATACAGTAGGATGTACAGTAACTCACTCGTGCTTTATGGCTTGCTGTACTCCAAATAATGAATTAAACAACAGGACTGGGACCTTAATTCGGTAGACAATGCGAGGTGTGTTATGGGATGAATGCATTTTAGCACTAAGAATCAGCTGCCTGGTAGATTTGGTGCTAACAGGGAAACACCCAGGTTTTTTCCACTTTCATGCACTGGCTGCTGTGTCGTGTGAAAAAACAAGTTTTTGCAGAAGCCAGTATGGCGTAAGACATAAACAGGCTCTACAGTTCCCCATTATAACTCAATAATAAACTCACATTTTCACTAAAACAACTCTGTTTTGCAGAGCAATGCACCCCAATCTATGGTCCGATTGAGTGAGACATTTTAACAATGTTTGTGTCTTTAATCTGTGGAAGCGTTTAAGAATGTGGAATTGAAGAGCAAATTTAAAAAACACACTCACTAGATTGTTTTTTGTTTTGTTCTTTGACAGCCAATGACCTAAAGTCAGTCTTCCTCATCATATGTTAGAGTATTGGGAACCAAATCTCATTCAGTCCTCATGTAATCCAAAGAGGAACTTTCATTAAATTTCCAAAACTCACTCAGTCCATAGAAATTTTCTCAAAAACTGAGTAACTTTTGGAAATTTGCTCTTCGATTTATTTCTATTTTTGGGTTAACACACCACCGAGACTCAAAAGTCATAATTCTTTTATGCAACACCTGTGACAAAGTGGACACAAATACTTATATGCCGAAGTACACATCTGTCAATTATACAAAAAAATACGGACGGAACTGACTACCAGTAAAGCTAGTGTACTAGTAATAACTACAACAGGCTGCAGTATTAAACTTTTAAATAGCGTATATGCTTAGCATTGCCAAATAATAAAACACTTACTTGTGAATACCAATCAGCTTCCAGATCTGCAGGTCTGTCAGTTGGAAGGGAGAAGACAGCCATGCTTTCACAGATTCGCCATACTTGCCCAGATTAGGTACATAAATGGACAAAGCGCTAACTAGCTTTTTCACAGTTCTTTCATCACTTCCCAAAACGATCAGAGGTCTTCCACTCAGAAGGCAATGTATGGCTTGCTGAGCGAAGGGATACTGTCGGATAAATCGCAGGGCACACTGCCCAGCTTTCTTCTTCTGCTTCACAGTAATGGGACTACCATAGAGAAAAGGCGGGTTTGTCCTATCAGAGCATGTAGAGGTGCTCATAAAGCTGGTGCTGTCAGAGCAATCGTCCAGGGTCATCCTAGAGGTCTCGTCTGACAGACAGTTGGGGTTCAGCTCGTAAGGGGTGATACTAGATACAGGACCATCAGATATACTTGCGTCATCGAGTGTAAAATCCACCTGCAGTGCCAAGTCCCCCTGGCGGCAAGACTGCGGCTCCTGTTTGACCACCCCGTTGGCAGAGCACTCCTGTGCCAGCTCGGGGGCGGGCACTCTATAACTAAGGCCCTCCTGTCCCATGCAGCAAGTCGCATCCACTTGGACCAAAGTCGCTGCATCGTAAACACATTCGTTATGGGCGACGGTGTCTGAATTTATGGAGAATATTGGCTCGTGCATATTGTTCGTGCAGTCCTCTCCTGTATCGCTATAGTCTTCCTCATAAATAGCACAAGGATAGGATGCTCTCAAATCCTCGGGTATGATGGAATCTGTAGTGCTCAAGACTTCAATGCTATCTTCACTATTGGCCCTCTTGGTGACAATCCTTTTCCTGACTGTGACCGGATAATGTGGGGAAAGATGCGTGACGGTTTCATTCAGCTGAGGTCCCTGAGCTTTGAAAGACTTCTCCGTGCCAAGAACTTCAATGCTCTCACCACTGCTTAGACTCCCTTTCATCATAGCATCCATACATTCATCAGAGAGACCCTGTGCGACGTCACAAGCACAAGCTTCTGTAGAGTCTTCTTCCTGAAATACTTTTACTTCATCACCTGGGTCCATTTTTATATGAAGGGTTTCTACACAGGAAGCGAAGGATTCAAGACTCACAGGTTCACCTGCCTGGATGGAAGCAGGAGGAGGTAGATTATTAAGCAAATTATCCTTTTCGTTATAAGTGTCCTTGTCGGTCTCTTCCTCCTCCCAGCTGCTGTAATCTTCAAAAAGGAAGTTTGTGACTTTCTGTTTCTTCAGCAGAGCTTGACCTATCTGATTTGTGTAGATATAGCAAAGATCTCCTCTGAAGGTCTTCTCAATTTGCTTTAGCTGATCCATAGTTTGGTGGTAGAAATACAAGTCACAGAGCTCCTCGAGTGTCTTCAAGCGCTTATCAAAGCATTTAGCTGATTTCGCCTTTATGAGCTGAGGGGTGTACGAGGGACTGCGTTTAATATCGGGGCTGTCCGACTGACCTTGAGGTTTGGAGTCATTCATGGGGTCCTGACCCAAGTCAGTTGACTCAACTGTATTTTCTGAATCATAGGGAAGAAAGTCGGGGTCTTTCATTTTTCTGTTTGGGTAGGAAGTAATTTGCCTCAACAGATCTTTATGCTCATATATAGACTTTTCGACGTTGGCTAACTCATTCGCTTTTTCTATTGCTTGAGTGGAAAAGCAGCCATTGCTCTGTTTCTGCAATTCAGTTTCCTTATGTAGGATGGCTCGGGTATACTCCAGGTCCTTGAGTTTCTTTTCAATCTCATTTGCGAAAGCTTTCCGGTTTCCAGTCTTCAAACACTCGGACGCTTTGGAGAATTCAGCGGACAGCTCTAGAAACTGCTGCATTATCTTCCTCTCATCGGCTGAAATGTACGCCACGCAGAACGGCCTGACAAAGCCCCGAGCTTCCAAGTCATAAAGGGTGAGATGGTGTACGTAGGCAAAAGCACCTTCCTTTGAATCCCCGAGCACAACTTTGGAGTCCTCCACAAAGTTAAGTTTTGGATAGCTACATCCAGGAGGGTGTCCCACAAAAGAGGCTTGGTAATCTACAGACATGATACGCAGGGAGAAGTAATTGAGATCAAATGTGCCACAAACCTTAGGTCCATCTGGAATGGTAAGTAAAGGCTGTGGGCCGACCTGCTCGGAAAACTCTGAGATGAGAATGAAATCCTTGGTAAATTTCGCATAAGAAGTCTTTGACCACGGATTTTCATTTTCAGAATAAGGGAACGGAGGCACGTTGAACTCCTCTGGTAGCAGAGAATGATCTACATTGGCATCTCCAAAATCATTTTCTTTGGTAAATGCCACTAAATCGGGGGAGCCAATCATATTTTCTATTTCTGTGTAGATGGCATGGATAAAGAGTTATCCTGCTGTCTTTTTGCAGTCACCAGTCATGTTTTCAACACTGTCAAGAGACAGCTGCCCTTCCATACATATTCGCTATGTTCAATGTCCACTGTAACGAGTAGAGCATAATACAGAATTTAAAAATTGTATATAACACACTCGGACCTTTCAACAAGCGCTTATACGATTACGCCATCTGTGAGGTGATCTGTACGTGTTTCTCCTTTCAACGCTATTAATAAACGCTATTGCCTAGCCGAAACGATCAGCAACACTGTGTCATCTTACGGCAACGCGAACAAGAAAATAAGAGATGTGCCGTGTTACTGACTTGCCGAAGGCGGTATCTCCTCCTCTGCGTCCCACCCTCTCCAAATCAAATTTTATGCAGAAAGCGTAAGTGACGGTGAGACGACGGCGAAAATGGAGCGAAGCACATCTGAAGCCAGCGGTGGAGATCATCAGCCATATTTAGCCATGTGACAACCTTGCAACAAGGAAGTACCAAGCGCACTCCTCTCTTATTTATACCGCATTGCAAAGGTCCAGGCAAAATATCGCACCACAAGCTAATACCTGTAACCTTAAAAATATTAAACATATATGTTTTAGCTATCTGTGATCATTTTTCTGTAATATTTATTTAGATAACCGATCATAGCATATGGTATCTTTAGTTACTTCCTTGCCTCTGACAGCTGATGCAGAATCAATTTCATCTTCTTCGGTCTTAACTCTTAAAATGTGATTTCAATACATCCCACTGATCCGAGATCGGATAGCAAAGAGCCTATCTTACCCGATCTACGCCGGCGGCTTATTTTGACAGGACGGGAAAGGGTTAATAATTAATTATTAATTTTTGCCGGACTGACGTCACGTCTTAAAGACACAGCGTAGGGGCTGCATGGGTTCCTGATCTTGGCCAGTCGGTAAGCCGTAAGTTTCTTGCCAGTCAGTCTCTCCGTGAAATCTAGCAAAACATACGGCCGATTTTTTACTACTCCGCACCCTGACTTTCAAAAAATTCAGCGGGCATGCAGGGTGCTGAAAGGGACTCGGGATTAAATTGTCCAGTCAAATTATTTTAGACTTTATATAAATTTCATCGCTGGTTGACAGCACGCCACGAAAAGAAGCTGACATGCATCCTACTAACCGGTGAAATAACACTTATTTGGCGGGATTTACTCGTTTTTTTTTTTTGTTTCTTTTACTCCACTGCTATTTTATTCTTTATTTGCACTGTTGTCCTACTGTCCCTCCACGCACCTGCCCCTCCCACCCCCACCCTGAAACTACAGTGCAAGAATTTCACTGTGTTCCTCGGAACACATAGGACTACAGCCTAAAACGTCAACGATGTCCTATTTTTCTGCCTTCATTGCTTTATATTGTTTACTAATAAACACTAACCCCTCAAAGCAGGCCACATTTGTGCAACTATGAAAATGCACATTATTAGATACAAAAATCACCAAGGATTCTTTTAACATTTTTAGAAGAAAGTTTTTCATTTTGTTTTCATCACGGCCAAAGTCAATGTCTGGCAACGTTTTGAGACAGAAAAGAGTTGAAATCAAACTATTACTATTCATCTGCTTTATTCAACAGTGTTACTCTTACAGACACATCCTCCCTTAAATTACCTTCCCGGAGTATGATACATTTCTCTACTCAACGACTATTCTAAATAAACTGAAAACCAAAAAAAGAGTTTTAAACTGTGTTTGTTGGAAATTTGCTTAAACTTTTGTAGAAGACCCCTCCAGATTTAACCTTAAAAAAACATTGTTGGTTTCCAATAAGTCGTGGCTATCCTGATGCTGCAAAGGGAACGACACACTCCCAGCCAAGTGCAATACAATAGTATATTTTAATAGTGCATGAATGGTGTTACTATGTTACCATAATTGCAGTTAAGCAGAAGTGTTTCACTTATGAACATATGCCCCACAGGTATAAAAATCCAGAAGACACTAACTGAAAATTAAAACATTGAATAAAATTATGAACTAGTGAAAATTGGTTCTGATGAAGATGCTTTTTTTTAAACTTACTTCTGTGGTACATGAAGAATTGTAGACTTAATTTTACAAATGTATGTTCAATAGTCCAACATTTCATATATGTTATGTAAATCTGTTTGCCTGAAGGACAGGAATGAAAAGGATACATCCCCCGAATTCAAATCAAGGAACTTTAACAAAGAACAATAAAGTGCACAGATTGGTGATTTTGTGCGGCATTTAAATGAAAATTAACTGCCAAATCAACTTAGCAAGAAAAGTCAAAGTTGATATCAATATATCGTAAAACAATTTGTTTTCAATAATTTCCACAATATCATCTACAAGACACTTGACCTAAAAGAAAAAGCAGAATTCATCCAAGAAAAATAATTCAGTAAACAAAGAACTTAAATTTACACTTCAACTTGGCAAAATTAAAAAAATATAGACTTTAATTTTATTTAGGTGAACATTTGTTAGGGGACACAGTTTTTAATGTAAAATGAACACATATTCAAAGAGCTATAGTGCTTGGAGCAGAACCTCTGGTTCAGAGACGGCACAGTACAACATAAAACCCATTTCATCAATTTCTTCCTCAGAAAACTCAGACAGCAAGTTCACATTCTCTTTAAAGTAACTGGAAAGGCACCATATTTCAAGGTAGCCAATCATCTCTTTGATTGCCTGTTGAAACCTATCGGCAAAAGCAGCTTCTGTCCAATCGGATTCCTTTTCACTGAGATGTAAAATTAGATTTATCAGGTGTCGTCCGGACAGCTTCTGCAATGCGGGGTTGTTTTTGCACACCGCCTTCAAGGTTTTCACACACTTCTTTCGAAGACCACAGTCCTTTTCGTCCAGTTCGGCGAGCTTCGCCGTCTCGGAGGTGTAAAAGCTTTGGTACCATAAGTTGTCAAAATTGCCAGTGACTTCCAGCTGAGCAGTTAGGATGGTGTTATTCAGACACACAGTGGGCAGGATGCTGATGTAGAGCTTGCTGTTCTGGCCCAAAACCTCCAGCTTCAGTTCCTGGGACCCCATAACCGGCCTTACCTGGCACTCCACGGTGCTGCTGATTGATGGCCAGTTCATGGTCTCCATCAGAGTCTTGTTAAGGACTTCGGTGATCAGCTTCGAGGAAAGGTAGCCTCCCACTAAGAACCTGTCCCAGAAACTTCGCCCACGTGGAAAGTACTCCAGGTTCTTTCGACGCACCATCCAGAATTGGGGGTTTCCGAGGATCGTCTCCTCTCCTGGAATCAGCGCCCAGAGAGAGTCCTCGACCTGCAAGGGCACCAGGAGGCAGGCGTGGTCCGCCACCATGACCTGAAAATCGTCCAACAAGGAGCCGCCCAAATGCATGTCTCCCAGGGGCATGTCAGGGTGCTTGGAGTGGAGGAAGCCCTGGATTTCTGTGCAGATGTCCAAAGCTTGCTGCTGGGCTCGGCTCACGTCCTCCACGGAGAGAACCACCTGGGTCTGGTAGTAGCGCTGTAACTTCTCCTGAAGAGTGAGGCACAGGAACTCCTTTTCTGCGGCCTTGGGCTTCTCTGCCACACTAACGGGCCTGTTTAACTCCGCTGGAAAGCAGAAAAGAGGTCAGAGCACAACGTTTCCTTTCATTATTCCCGACACAGACGCAAATCTGATCTGATAATTAGACTCTCTCTGCAGTGTTCCTATACCCAATAAAAAAAAAAAAACCTGACTGGAGTGTTATTCCTGTGTAAGTCGTGCGTTCTGAACTTGAGACGTACCTTTCTGGGCCTTAGCTGCGGCCACGATCTGCTTCATGACCACCCCCTCGATACCCTTCTTCAGCAGTTTCGGAGAGGCACTGACCAGGCTCAGCTCCTCCCAGCTGTCCATCGCCTTCTGATCCGCCTTCTCATCTTCCGGAGGTCTGCCGGCACGTTCGATCAGCTGCGACATCAGAATTTGTGCTCTTTCAGGGGGTCTCCTCAATACCAGGACACAAACCACCCAATGCAAGCTCTCTCGGTGACCCTTGTTAGGTTCTTTATAGCTGCCTGATATACCTATTCAGGTTTACTTACCCGCTTGACAGCCAGGGTGGCTATTCCCAGCACTGCTGCTCCGCCTACCCCCAGCACCAGCCGGGCATTGGCCAGCAAGAAGTCAATCACAGCAGCAAAGCCGTCCTCGCCTCGCCTCTTTCCCTGATGGTTCATCTTCCCTGCAGACTGAGTGCATGCACACATGAATATCCTGTATCATGGAACAGCTGACAGTGCCCACAGGCAGAAGCATTTCAACTGTAGACTTCTTTCATTAATTACCTTAGCTTACTTTGAGTATTAACCGTAGACCTGCTGGCAAACTTTTTGAAAGCTTAGTCAGGCAACCAAGAAAATAAGCATGTAGACTTTGAAAGGTCATGTTTGCAAGTCACGTCAATTACGGTAATTGGCATTACAAAACAATCTCCTGCAAGGATGACACAGTCAAGCAACAGATATTCTTACAATGAACCACCTCATCGAATTTCATACCAGAAAAACAGTAGTTTACATTACCACAATATTATATAACCAGAAGTTCAACAAATGGTGAAACGATCCAAAGCGATACACATTGAACATAAACACGCCCTGTGGGATGAATCATAATGTCACCCTATGGCTCACTTTCTCCACCTGTGACAAGCTGCTTGCATTTAGAAATTCATTGAAATTTCATGGGTTTTAGACAGTCAGAGGATGCCCTGGCTGGGCATGACCATAGGTGTTCATTTCTTCTTCCATTTAATATAGCCCACCCAGAGATAAGTTTACCTTGTAATGCAAATTAAGTACTCCAGAGTTTAAAAGGTCACCAAAGAGAAAAATGACAAGCCAAGCTAATGTGAACTAACTTAAGTTTACCTCCTTATTTATAAAGTAAATTTATATAACAGTGACTTAAAACTGTGGGAAGAACAAAAATATATATCTTTCTGGAAACTTAAGTACAATTTCATCCATTGATATCAGTTTACCAGGCTTGTGCTGCTTGAAGGTTAGCAATAAACATCTTTAAAGAGACGACCTGCAACTATTTTTGTGAATCAAAATGGATCATGATAACATTTTTAAATCACTTATTTGTAAATCAAACAGAACAGTATATTCTTTATTTACACAATACAGTCTGTAGACAGAAAGACCAGATGCATAAATATTTATATTCTAGCATTTGATTCTCATACGAACCATATCATCCAGAACTACAGATAACCATCACAAAGATCAAAGATGTTTAGCAATGTAGAATGTTTAACATTCAGACGATTATCCCATGTTTAAACATAGCCTACTTTTACATTAAATTCACTCAAGAATTGCTCTTATTTGTACAGCCAGAGTAGCAAACATGTAATAGACAATGATAAAATACTTATAGCCAATGAGAGCGTGTCAATTTTTATTGGACAGATTTGGAAGTTCTTCATTTTGCTGTTATTCCCACTAAGATCACTGAAGATGGAATCCCTATCCAAGTCACCCAGGACAGAAATATACTTGTGCCTAATGACAAAATAACAAGCAAGTGAAAATCAATAAAAGTATTTTCCTACGTGCAGGCTCTGTTACCCTCTATCCCACCCACCTAATATTTTTTGGTTGGTGCATGATACTCTAATCAGGGCTACCGAGTCATTGTTACCTGCACATAGGCAATATTTAGTGAAATTAACAAATAAAGTGTTACACATACTAGTGCCAAACAAAACTAATCAAAAACAAACAAATGTAAAACAAAACAAATGTAAAACAAGATATCTAGATGTGATTATCAAAAAATATTCCCCATTTGTGGTTTAAACTAGCTTATTTGTTCTTGAGGTTTTCAGGTCCCCCACAATCAAGCGTGACTGGTCCCTTGGCATTGACTCTGATCCAGTGCTATCCACCATGAGAATCTATGGTGCTGTTATCTGACACTATGCACATCCAACACATTTCTGTCCCACCTTCAGAAACAACTTCTGAATTCAGAGGCACACACAAGGACCCTTACAGACTCTGCTGCATAGTTATCAGGTAAGGCTTTTCCAAGGTAAATAATATATACCTAAAGATACTGAATGATTTTCAAACTTTTCACCCCTCATTTAAAATACTGACAGTGCTAAACTATTAAAGTGACCAATCTGGATGAGGTGATTAGTAATAAACTTTCAACTTGATTTGTCTGAATAAATCACGAACCCCCCCCCCAATATAAAGGGATATAAAAAGATCAAGGATTGGTCCAATCAACCACATCAAGATTTTGAAGGAGCCCTTAAAACATGTAAAGTCTGTATGAGGAGTTTGTAAAAAGTCTAATTAAGAAATCTTTTATAAAATATAGAAGGGAGCAAACCAGGTCCCCTTTTTCTGGACTGGGATATCCTGGCTTAAAATAACATTTTCCGAGTCATTAATAACATTTTCCTGGCAACTCCACTTGTCAACCTTTACCCTCTACCCTAACGATTATCATTTGGCTTCCAGGATATCGATAACATTAGTTTTACCATAAAGGATATTGGATGTTTTATTCCATGGCAACTGACATAAGGTCATTGGTTACTTGGTTCCTAGGAACTAGCAAAAGATCATAGTTATAATTACGACCACCTGAACTAGACAACATTCCTTTAAAACGAAATATTGGCATGTATGACAGCATGCTACAATGTTATGTGCTTAGCGAGTTAACTAGATACCTACGTTGGTAAATAAGTCAGTAAATTACAACATGCTTAACAGATCCAAAACACTGCAAGCCATGTATTTAGTATACCAGCTGCCGTGACAAGGAGCCGTAACTAGCTGGTTTGCTGCCGACCTACGCGCCAACCAGGTCACGCGCATTATTAGCGACATAGGCTAACCGGCCGCTGTTTTCTAAAATAGCACCAATACAGCTGGTAAATGTCTAACCAGTAGGGCGGCTAGCTGGTTAGACTCGGTGTTTAAGATAAAACTAAAACGACTAGCTTGCTAGTTAATTAAGCTTACATATTTTTTTCTATGGGAACAAGAACGATTTGCGTCAATGTCTGATAAATCTATAACGTACCTTCTTTGTTTTAGGGAAAGGATGACATCTTATATCTGACACCAAGTTTTTATGTCTGACTAATTTTCTCCCGGAGTTGCGATACCCTCCCAACTCCGGCGTTTCGACTCAGTGACCGTAGGCCAGAGGCCGAATTTACCGACAACCGAATGGACCAATCAGAGCAAGGGACGCTGCTGTTCGCACCTCCCTAAATGGACGGACATCAGGGTGATGGGCGGGACCGAAGGAGTGTACCAACGTCTAAAAAAAACACTCACGGCTCTCACGATCCCCCGATCCTACATGCGCAGTACGGCGACCAGCTTGACTTTGCAGCAATAAATCAGAGTTCAAAATACGGGATTTAAATAAAAAATCCATATGAAGATAACAATGAGAGGGTGATTAAATCATCTAGGCCAGTCAATATAAAATGCTAAAACGCACACGTGTCAACAAAGAAATTGGTGGCACATAAATGCAAGTAAAAACTTGTCTTGATTTTCACAGAGGTGAAACTATGAAATGCGTATATCACGTTAGTGATGTATAACTGTCATGTTCTTAAGTCTATCAGACGTCTAATAATTTTCTCGAATTTCTATTGGAAACCAAACAAACAGCTGGGTTGCATTACCTCTGCCCTCCCACCACGGCGAAATAAAACCGGTCACGTGTTCCGGGTCGTACCATTCTGTGCCCGGTAGAAGGGGGAGTCTGTGGTTCCTTTCGCGGTGCAGCTGTCTCTTCTCGATCCCCATGTAGCCGACCGTACGAACTCAGGAACACGCCCAGGAATAGAAACCGGTTGACGTCGAGCAGCGGACTGCCATGGCGGCTACCGGAGTTCTTCCCTTCATCAGGGGGGTAGACCTCAGTGGAAATGACTTCAAAGTAAGCGAATTAAATCACCCTGACGCCTTGTTATAGATGCGATGTTGTGGCGGGTTAAGTGACCCAGCGGTCGGCCCGATGCCGGTTGTCGCTGCTCTGCTAGCGGTTGAGCTAGCGTAGTTGGCTAATTGTACGGAAAGGGTGCTTTGTAAAGAGAAACATGTACCTAACGTGTATCTAAATAGGGTTTATATTGTTCTTAAACATTTCTCTTGGTAATTTACCCAAAGAGTTCACTAACTAAGTAGCTAGAGAAAGTTCCTGTGTGCGAGAAGCTGCCGTTGGTTACTATTTCTGTTTCTTGTAATTCATCATTTCCTGTTTAGTCACCGCACATATATATCCCATTGGTAGTATTTGGTTGGTAAAGAACTATTTTTCACATTTAATAATAACGTGTTAGATGACCAGCCATTGCAGTTCTTGCAATACGAGCTGTCCATCTAGTTAATGCCTTTTTGCAGTCGAATGTTGCTGGCTCAGTCTCTGTGTCAGTCTTTAATTCAGTCAAAATATAATCCTGACGGTGTTGCCAGACTATATTAAATGATTGGTTATCGTGTTATATCTCTTTGCGGTATAATCCTTGGTGTTTTAAAGGCTGTGCATCATATTTTGGATATGTTTTGAATAAAATGTCGCTGGTTTTACACTTTTCAAATTTTCTACGTTGTTTTGGTTCTAGGGAGGTTATTTTCCTGAACACGTGAGGTCCATGACGAGCTTACGATGGCTGAAGCTCAATAAAACTGGACTCTGCTATCTCCCAGAGGAATTGGCATCTCTCCAGAAATTGGTAACGTGTGCCAATTCATTTATTCTGATTGTATCACTATTCACTGTATTTTAATCATTGTTTATTGAAGAATCATTGCTTAGTATTAATGCATAAGTCTGTCATTGTTTTAATTAACATGTATAATTTTTTTCTGAATGAAGGAACATTTGTCAGTAAGCCACAACAGCCTGACAACTTTACATGGAGAACTGTCTAGCCTACCATGTCTCAGGGTAAAGTCTTTCAACATTTATCCTGCTGTTTATGGAGCAGTATTTGTGGTTCATGTATGTTGGATGAAGTTAAATAATTGTGAACCAGTTATACAGGCACCCCCCTGGTTACAAACCAGATCTCTTCCCACAGTCTGTCCTTAAGTCTAATTTGTAGGTAAGACAGAACAGGTTCATATGGTTCTTATTTAGTGTCAGTGAGTCAGATGTTTGTTTTAGTATATATTATATATTTACTGTTCTGTACTGTACATTGAGCAAAGTAGTGTGTGTGTGTTCATTATTACAAATCATTGTATTTAATTTTAAATTTAGATTTTTAATATAATAAGTTTTATGGCAATCCGTGCGTAAGTATGAATTATTCATAAGTCAGATGTTCTTAACCCAGGACTGCCTGAACTATGTAAATCCTATACCTAGAATTATCATAGGACTTTAACTTTCCAGAATGCGAAAGTTAGTACCCATCTAAAAATGTTCTTAGGACTGCTTTTGTTTAAAATTGGTATTTCTTATTGTAACCTAAGGCAATTGTTGCCCGTGCAAACAACCTGAAGAACTCTGGGGTTCCGGATGACATATTTCAGCTGGATGACCTCTCTGTGCTGGTATGCAAAGTTACACATTTTTTCCCCCCTTGAAGGACTCCAGACATCCATGTACCCAACACTACACTGCTCTAAAAACCAAAATATATTGACCCATATTAAAAGTTTCCTTTGCTCGCCTTGTCCTCTATGTACCACAATTTATTTTGCCCCTCTGGCCCTGTGCAGCTTAAGTGAACTGAAAGAAAAAGAAAAAGCTACTGTAAATTATTCAGTTGGGTTTATTTTTCTGTACTTCTTTTCCTAGAGTTGTTGCCCTAAAGTGCCTAACAATAATTCAGCAACAGTATAGAAATGCATCTGAAAAAGAGTATGAATTGTAAGGTGGAAGAGCTGCAAATGGAGCCCAATACATCTAAATAGCACACAGTAATATTAGGAGTTGGTGTCAAAAAAAGAGAGAAACAGCATGGGGGTCCAGGACCAAATGCCTGTCTATTCCCTTTGGGATTGTAACCCATCTAGTAGTGTGTGTATAAACACGAGATCTAATTTGCTCTAGGACAGCCAGGTGATACTACATGTGTAGGAGGATCAAGTCAGGTTTAGTTTATCGTCTGTATATGAATCATTGTCATGGAACATTAAATGTTAAATTGTATGTTTAAGTAAATTTATGCTTTATCCCTGGCATAGAAGTTGACTAGTACTTGTATAGTCCAGTTTACTATTGCTAGGCAATTCATTCTGCAACCAAGGTACAGCAGCTGCTGCATGAGCTCATTGAAAAGAGATCATTGAATTATAAGAACAAAAAAATGAATGAATGTCTGATGGCTTTAAGGGAAAACGATATACAGTTCATCTGTCTTGACAGAGCACTGAGTGCTTGAACTTTCCAGGGGGTTCAGTTAATAGTGGAAAATGCTTCTGTCATTCTATTTTTTTGTGTTCCTTTCCTGCCAGGACTTGAGTTATAACCAACTTACGGAGGTTCCCCGAGACCTTGAGCACTCGAAGAACATGCTCGTTCTCAACCTTAGTCACAACAGGTGCCTATACTATTTAAGTGCCAGTAAATATTCTTGTAAAATGAAATCCATTGTCTAGCAGCTATCCGCCTAGAACATGATTATTTTCTTAATCTCCAAAGACACCCCTGTCTTTTTGTTTCCCAAGCATTGACAACATACCAAATCAGCTATTCATCAACCTCACGGATTTGCTGTTTTTGGACATGAGCGACAACAAGCTGGAGAGCCTGCCGCCCCAAATGAGACGGCTGGTCCACTTACAAACTTTAATACTTAACAATAACCCGCTCATGCACGCCCAGCTGAGGTAAGGGAGCTGTGTTCCGTACATGGGCGTGTGGCCGTAGAAAATGCACTGGGCCTAAACGTTTCTTTAACATTTGTTCTCCCTGTTTTCGAATAGACAACTTCCAGCCATGGTAGCGCTACAAACCCTTCATCTGAGAAATACCCAGCGCACCCAAAGCAATATGCCGACGAGCCTGGAGGGTCTCACCAATCTCGCTGGTAATGTGACACTAATGCAGCTGTCTGTGTTTCCATGACAACCTTTACAGCAGCATTTGAGCCATGTGTGCTTGTAAAGTGAAAAAAGATTGTGTGAGAACTAAATTATGTAGGGAAGTTTTGTGGTGTGTGTGATGTATTACTTCTATGCTGTTTGGTTTATGACAGACAGTGTAGGGCAGAGATATATAGGAATTGTATAGGCTTGCCGTAGTGATATTAATATTCAGATCATCTCTGTAATGAGTGCCTTGGGCAAGTAGACTGGAATAGTGTTTTTTTCCAACCTGGTTGCTGAGTGAAGCATATGAAATCTATATATTGAGGGATAATGTATACTGCTTGCATGTTATGAGCCATCAATATTTGTCTTTTTTTTTTCCCCAACTATGAAATGACTTTTGTAGGATACGAACCCATGGCCCATTGAATTATTCACTTAGTCTCTCTCTCTCTCTCTCTCCCCCCAGATGTGGACCTGTCCGGCAATGATCTAAACCGAGTACCAGAGTGCCTTTACACGCTGTCCAACCTCAAGCGCCTCAACCTAAGCAGCAATCAGATTTCTGAGCTGTCCCTGTGCATTGACCAGTGGACACAGATGGAGACCCTTAACCTCTCCAGGAACCAGCTTACATCTCTCCCTGTAAGGACAGTTGTATACTGTCGGAATGGACTGAAAAAATTATAGGATCCATAAGAACTTTTTCTTAATCTCCTTGCTCTCTTTCAGTCCGCTATCTGCAAGCTGGCCAAGCTGAAGAAGTTGTATTTGAATTCAAACAAGCTTGATTTTGATGGAATCCCATCAGGGATTGGGAAGCTGTGCAGTCTGGTGGAATTCATGGCAGCCAATAATAATCTCGAGCTGATTCCAGAAGGACTGTGCAGGTGTGTGCCTGGAACCTGTTACATTATTTGTGTGGTAAATTAAGCTTTTTAATCACCATTGTGCTTGAATGTTTAGATGTGGGAAGCTGAAGAAACTGGTGATTAATAAAAATCGTCTCGTCACATTACCAGAAGCCATCCATTTCCTCACAGACCTTGAGGTAAGGTGTGATCATCTGCATTGTGAAACTTCAGATTATTTTTAAATATGCAGAAGTATGTATGTTGGAATTTATCCTTCAGTTTATTGTACGTACCTAAATGTGGTTTGGCCTAGGTCCTTGATGTCAGAGAAAATCCAAATCTGGTGATGCCGCCAAAACCGTTAGACAGGACGGCCGAGTGGTACAACATCGACTTCTCCCTGCAAAACCAGCTCCGACTGGCTGGTGCGTCTCCGGCTACGGTGGCTGCGGCTGGCGGGGGTAAGCGTTTGAGCGTCGCCGTCGCACTCGGCCTCACCCAGTATGAGGTCGGAGGTTATTTCTGCCCAAAGAGGGGAGCGGAGATGTCAAACCGAATTGGTCCTGCAGGGAACAGCCCCAGAGACCCACTAGCCAGGAAGATGAGGCTGAGAATACGGAAGGATTCTGTCCAGGATGACCAGGCGAAGCAGGTGCTGAAGGGCATGTCGGACGTGGCCCAAGAGAAGAACAAATCCATCGAGGTATTGGCTCAGTCATGCTGGCGATCTGATTGCTTTTATTAAGGGATTTTAATTGGGTTAGGGTGTATATATTTTGGTCTCACAGTTTGGCTTTGAGAGCATTTTACATTATTCAGTCTGTGAGTAGATTTGGTGTAAAGCTAAACGGAACCCTCAATGTTCTTGTGTTCTGTCAGGACGACAGCAGTGCAAAATATTCAGACTCAAAGGGGCGACGCTGGGATAAGAATCTGGAAAAACCCCACCTGGACTATTCCGAGTTTTTCTTGGAGGACGTGGGCCAGATTCCTGGCATCACTGTGTGGCAGATTGAGAACTTTGTGCCCATTCAGGTTGATGAGGCTTTTATCGGGAAGTTCTATGAGGCTGACTGCTACATTGTGCTGAAGGCAAGGATAACCAACGTTAAATGTTACCTATCCTCACACATGCCCACACACTTTGCTTCCCAGGGTGGTAACTGATAGGTGGCCTTTTTATTCTGTGTCTCTTTCAGACCTACCTGGATGACAATGGCGCCTTGAACTGGCACATCTTCTACTGGATCGGCCAGGAAGCCACGCTTGACAAGAAAGCGTGTTCGGCCATCCATGCGGTCAACTTGCGCAACTACTTGGGTGCCGAATGCAGGACCGTGCGGGAGGAGATGGGTGATGAGAGCGAAGAGTTTACTGCGGTTAGTCGTATTGATAGAATAGCCTGTCTTCATAATGCTTTGTTTGGTGCATTACCACTGCCATCTAAAAGCTAACCGATTTTAGCTGTATTAAGTCAACGCATATCATTCACTCCACGTGTAGGTGTTTGACACTGACATTTCCTACATCGAGGGGGGCACTGCCAGTGGATTCTTCACAGTCGAGGATACCCAGTATGTTACGAGGTAAAAATGGGGCGGAGCAACTTTTGATGGGACTTGAGATGGCTGCTATACCACAGTAGGGATTTTTTTAAAAGTAGAGCTTTGTGTTGCCAACAGACTCTTCCGTGTGTATGGCAAGAAGAACATCAAGCTGGAGTCCGTCCCCTTGAAGGGTGCTTCCCTGGACCCACGGTAAGCCGCAGATGTGACCCGTCATTGTGTCTGTGTGGGGGTGGGCTGATTTATCCTAATCACTTTTTCTTCAGGCAAAGCCATGTACAAAGCTTGAGTGATCTCAACTTATTGCAATGTCTGTCTAGATTTGTTTTCTTGCTGGACGCTGGTTTGGAGATATTCATATGGAGAGGACTGAATGCCACTCTGAGTGGCACCACGAAGGCCAGGTATGGAAAATGTACTCCTCTGGTGTGTCCCGATTGGTGCTTTAATTTTATGATTTGTGGTGTGTAAATAACATGAAGAAACGTAAGCCCTGATTTCCTCGCGACCGTTTCAGACTGTTTGCAGAGAAGATCAACAAGAATGAACGGAAGGGTAAAGCAGAGATCACATTGCTGGTCCAGAATCAGGAGACTCCAGAGTTCTGGGAGATACTTGGGGGTCAGCCTGAAGAAATCAAGAAGCATGTTCCCGATGACTTCACACCTTTTCGTTCTAAACTCTATAAGGTATTTTAATCTGCTGTGAGTCGGACACCGTGGTGAATTCACTTGTCACATAATTCTACCTCAAATGGACGTTAAGTAATGGATAGAAGTGCCGCATGAACACGGTTATTGAAGACCTATGTGTCAAGATTGCTTTAATTATTTAAAAATTAAAATTTATTACAATTAAACCACTATAGACCGCCTACCAGTCTTATTCTGATGTAGAGACCATTCCTGCTTGTAGGTTGGTCTCGGCTTGGGTTATCTGGAGCTTCCTCAGATTAACTACAAGCTGTCGGTGGAACACAAACAGAAGCTGAAGTTGGATGTCCTCCCTGAACGGAGATTGGTACGATCCAGCTCTTGCCTTCAAGCATTCTACGAATATCTACTCAGTTGCATGCATAATGTTTTTTTCCGTAAAATGCAGTAAAATGGCACACTGACGAGGGTGATGTTGGAAATCCTATGATGTGTGTCCCCTTGGTGGCTACAGCTCCAGAGTCTCTTGGATACAAAGGGAGTGTACATCCTTGATTGCTGGTCGGACGTCTTCATATGGATCGGGCGCAAGTCTCCGCGGTTGGTGAGGGCAGCTGCCCTGAAACTGGGCCAGGAGGTATGCAGCATGTTACACCGGCCCAAGCACGCCATGGTAATGCGGAACCTGGAGGGAACGGAGTGCCAGGTAGGACGGTACCCAACAACCTGGTAAACATGCAGTCAGTTCCACTAAGTAGGTTTGTATGGGTCATTTTAAATAATTTTAAACAATTTTAAGGTTTTCAAGTCCAGGTTCAAGAACTGGGACGATGTGCTGAAGGTCGACTACACAAGGAACGCAGACATGGTGCTGAAGAATGAGGGTCTGACTGGAAAGGTGAAGAAGGACATGGCTCAGAAGAACCAGATGAAGGCCGACCTAACGGCCCTGTTCCTGCCACGACAGCCCCCCATGCCCCTCACAGAGGTGGGAGTGCAGTTCCGTCCTCCATGGAATGCTGGTGTGCCTCCTTAGCACACGGTGCTGCAGAAAACTACAGTGTTTAGAGGTTTCTTTGTTTGCAGGCAGAGCAGATGATGGAGGAGTGGAATATGGACCTGGATGGAATGGAGGGCTTTGTTTTGGAAGGAAAGAAGTTTGCACGTCTTCCAGAGGAGGAATTTGGGCACTTCTACACTCAGGATTGTTATGTATTCCTCTGCAGGTAAGTGCATGCTGCTTGATTGCTCCTAAATGTGTTTAACTGCTATGATGCTTTGGGTCTATAATGATGATTGGTTCTGTCACTATCAGGAATGGGGGGTGGTTTTACAATTCTGCAACCCCAGCTACCGAAGATTTCAAATCATAATGGCCCATGGCATGCGTCATGTGATTTAGCTTGTCTTGCAGCTGAGAGAGGATCCAGACGCGAAGGCACTGTCCTTATAAAGGGTCAAATGTTCCTGATTCTCTTTCACTAGTAGAATTAGCTTAACGCTCTGATTGGAAGGTTGTAATTAGCATGCACTCCCTTGTTTTTGGCTGCTCAGTTTCACAGATGAATTACTTGCTGTGGATTTGTATCATAGTGAAAATGTTTAGTTGTCATTGTTCTCACACCATGGCACAAAGTGCACGATGACAAAATGTCTCCTCTGCATTTGACCCATATGTGACATTGTGACATAGTAGGGGGCAGCTAATTCAGCGCCTGGGGAGCAGTGCTTGGGGGTGGTACCTTGCTCAGGGTACCTCAGTGGTACTTTGCTGTTTGGGGATTCAAACCAGCAATCTTTCAATTACAAGTGCGCTTCCCTAATCATTAGGCCACCACCATTTGGGTTGGTGTCCTGTGTCACTCAGGACCCTCTGCCTGTGCTTTCCATCCTTTCCCAACTTGCATGTCTCATATGTTAGTACCACACCTTGTTCCTGACCCGGTTTTCAGTAATGCATTTGTCAGTATTGAGAGCTCTTCATATTAAGTAGGGAACATGCCAATCAATGCTGAAGCTAACGGAGTGAGATGGGCCTGGTTAACATGCTGTTTTCTCTGCAGGTACTGGGTGCCAGTGGAGTACGAGGACCAGGAGAAGAATGGAGAGAAAGGGAATGATGAGGCAGAGGATGAAGACAAACAGCCGGAGGAGGACTTCCAGTGTGTGGTCTATTTCTGGCAGGGCCGTGAGGCCTCCAACATGGGCTGGCTCACATTCACCTTCAGCCTGCAGAAGAAGTTTGAGAGCCTCTTCCCCGGTAAACTGGAGGTAAGCACGTGTCTTCTAATAGCTCCATGTGAAGCCTTTCCTTTGTGTTGCAGCATATTTGCATACGTGCAAATAACGCTGACCAGATGACGCAATCAAGCTGCAGTATTGCGTTTGCTCAGCAGGGGGCGATGACGCACCAAATTTCCTTGTCAGATTTTGCTGCAGTTTTTCTCCCTGTAGCATTCTGCTAAGAAACCTTACAGAAGCCTCAGCTGAAACTCGAACATAAGTCATTGTACGCTTCAGTCCACCCCTAAGGGGTGTGTTTCGTGCTGTCATTGACACACCCATCTGTCTTTACACCCAGGTCGTGCGGATGACTCAGCAGCAGGAGAACCTCAAGTTTCTGTCTCACTTCAAGAGGAAGTTCATCATCCACAGAGGAAAGAGAAAGCTGAAGGATGACAACATCCAGCCCAGCTTGTACCACATCAGGACTAACGGCAGCGCCCTCTGCACCAGGTAAGCAACAGCGCCACCCTCCAGCTGGAGGACCTGTCAGCAGGAAGCAAGGATCTCCTCAGCCAATGAGGGCTACAGTCATACAGTGTTGGCATGTCTTGTAAAATATGAGATGCAAACAGGCAGAGGAAAGTGGAAAACCACTTCTTTACACTGTGAAAAGTTTGACCCATGAGGTCAACGCAAATAAAAAACATTTGAGAAAACAAGAAGGTTATATAACGTTTGTGGAGAGCATCTGGATGTCGGATTTTAAGCCATAGAATCACAACTCGCTCCAAACCACACACAAAATGCTTCAATCAGCTTGTTTTGATTTAGCATGGAATCTAGCAAAATGCCAAAGAGAGTAAGTTAAAAAGCAATTATAGACTTGTCAGTTTCTGTATTTTGACAAGTTTATAATTGCTTTTTACTTGCACTCTTAAGGGGTGCAAACTGAAATGCAAAACAAAAGCTGCCCTAAAAATAAAGTGGCCGATTTCGGCTGTGAAGTCGAGATAAGACTAGCGGTTTTGACTGGCATTGACTGTGCTCTGCTAGGGGCTGAAACGTTGGGCCGTACCAATATAGGGAGGGAGGGGATGAATGACTTTAACCCCAACATTCTCCCTCCTAAGGCAGGCAGTGGCCATGGTTCCTTCTCGCAGTAACACGAGCCTTTGGAGAGATGTCTGGTGTATTTGTATTGTGGAAATTGAAAGTATACAAGTGGAATGTGATTACCCATGCCTACTTCTATTGTAGTAAAATGTATCATTTAAAGAAGTGGGAAAACTCGACTCCTTGGTATAACATTTATTGATCCTCTTTGATTTTATGTCCTAAGGACAATCCAGATTGCCACAGACTCCAGCAACCTCAACTCAGAATTCTGCTTCATATTAAAGGTGAGGCTCCCTGTGTTCTGAGGTCAGCAGTGTTTTTTTTTTTTTTTTTTTTTTTTTTTTTTGTTATTTCACTATTCCTCAGTTCTCAACACAATATGGAATTTTGATCCCCTGGCATCATGCCTGGATAAAATGTGTGCTGCTGTGCCAAAGCACCGGTACAGCCTGCAGTAGTGACCGTGAAGCTAGTCGCTGGGTTAGAGATGGACATCTTGCCACGTCGTGTTCCAGCAGTCGGTCATTTGGTGGCGAGGGAAGCTCTCTGCCCCTTTAAGACCCCTAACGGCAAAAAGGTTCAGGAAAATTAGCAAAGACTAACAAATGTCCTTGTTACATGTTTGCATGTCATGGCTGGATTTTACAACAGCACGATAGACCACGTGATTATCTGAGAAGTGTTTACTGACATGAATGAGTTTCCTTGAAATTATGTTAAATAGAATAATTAGCTAGTTGACCTTGTATTGTACAGTTTATTGTATATAATTGTACGTAATTTCTGCTTCCCTGTTGTTTATTACGGCCTGGAGTTATTTCATAAACAGGGATAGTCCTGCTGCACAACTGTTATTTCAACAAATGCCAGGATCCCCTGTAACTAGGAATCCAACAGTGTGATGTTATTCTGCAATGATTTAATTTCCGCTCTCATGAGAACGGGAGAAAATAAGATAAATTACACTTGTGACACCAGCAATGCAAACTTATCGAATTGAATTTGAACTTCTGTCCAGGAAAGATGTGGGAGAGACACTATATGTTTTCAAAAATTGAATCATGACTTCCAGATTGTTTGTTTGTTTTATTTGTATGGAGGAGGTGCAACTTTCTCCCCGCAGAGCTCGATGCTAATCATTATTTAATTCATGGGGTCGTCTCTAAAGTAAACCTGAAGAATGCGGCAGGTGGTTCTTATTTCCTGGCTGCCTCTGGTTAAGGGCCAAGGCATGCAAAGGCCTCTCTCTGAGCCGTCCCCCGCAGGCCACACACTAACATTACAGCGCATCCATGTGTCGTCGCTGGGAAGCAAGAGTCCTGCAACATGGTTAGTGACGGCCACAGGAAATTAAGTGCTTTTCAGTCTTTACGTTCGCAGAAACCTGCCCCCTTTTCCAAACCTAGCATTCCCGCATTTAATTCATTTTAACTTGGTGCTCTGTGTTCATGCTAAATTGAAATATACTTTTGATTTAGGTGCCGTTCGAGAGCACAGATAACCAGGGTATAGTGTACACATGGGTGGGCCGAGCTGCGGACCCGGACGAGGCCAAACTGGCGGAGGACATCATGAACTGCATGTTTGACGACAGCTACAGCAAACAGGTAAAGCAGAAACGCGTGACGAAGCTCCTGAAAGCTGGATTCCACGTGAAGTAGCTGCAGCGTGTGCCGGACTGATAAGCGATTAATGTGACTGGGGTCACGCCTGTAGGTGATCAACGAGGGCGAAGAGCCAGAAAACTTTTTCTGGGTGGGGATCGGCTCCCAGAAGCCTTATGACGAAGATGCCGACTACATGAAATACGCCAGGCTCTTCAGGTACCTGTCAAACGTGAGCTGTCAGTGGTTAAATGACACAGCTTTCCTCATGGAGTGATCACAGAAAAGGCTAGCTGTACCTTGAACGGCATGACACTCCGTGACTGTGGGTTCTGTGCCAGGTGCTCAAACGAGAAAGGATTCTTTGCCGTGTCTGAGAAGTGTTCAGACTTCTGTCAGGATGACCTCGCAGATGATGACATCATGCTTCTGGACAACGGACGAGAGGTTAGTGGCTCCCGCTTTGAAAATTCAATGAGATTCTGCCTGATTGGCTAAAAATAAGCTGGTGGGTCACAAACAGCCTGTGTCTGTAATAGATGAAAGATAAGCATGTGAATGTGGTTTCTGTGGGTATTTGTGCTCTAGATGTTGTGTTTTAACGATAAATAAGTTCTAATTTGATATTCTCCCTGTCTGATATGCAGGTGTATATGTGGGTTGGTACTCAAACCAGTCAGGTGGAGATTAAACTGAGCCTGAAGGCTTGCCAGGTGAGACCTAAGGCCGAGACTTAAAAGCCATCTATGCTGTTTTTACCTTATATCTGACCTCTGACCTTTGACCCTGCCTGCCTCAGGTCTACATCCAGCATATGAGGACCAAGGACTCTGAGAACCCCAGGAAGCTGCGCCTGGTGCGAAAAGGCAATGAACCTCACTGCTTCACCCGCTGCTTCCATGCCTGGAGCGCGTTCAAGAAGCCGCCCGCTTAGGCCTCCCGCCCGCTGTCTGCCGCGTAGGTCAGAGGCCGTACAGTCACACACTGCTTTTATCTGCGTTCTGCCCACTGTATTTACTTTTAATGGAGGTCATTTAAATGGTTTTCTTTGGTTAGCATTTTGGGAATTGTAATGACTGTATATGAGGTTCTGAGGCTGTAAACGTTTAAATCTTTTTAAAAAGCTATATTTCAATTAGTTTTTTTTTTCCCAAAAGCAGATCTGCATAAACAGAGTTCAGGGTGAAAGTCTGCCTTTGTTTGAGCTAAATAATGACAGTATCGCTAATAGCTAAAATTTTACTAATATTTATGCACGACTTCACCTCCATTTTGCTGGTCTCATAATTCCACATGGCTGGATATTTGTGCCAATTTACATACAAGATATTTTACTGCTGTATCTAGATTGAATGTTGGGTTTAATTAAATTGCATCCCAAGATGAAAATGTACATACTGTCAAAAGTGTTGGAATCATAGTTACCCAATATAATCTATAGCAGAGTTTAAGATAAATATCCTGATAGCACAATATGCAGTAATCTAATAGCCCTCATAGAGATTCTACTTGTGTGAAGTCAGTCCGATTGTAGGTCTGAGTATATCAGGATACTGTCATTGAAAAGCTAATGTTTATGGGTGATGCTTAATGAAACCGTGCCAATGCAGCCCTGATGGGTAAACCTGCAACTTTCTTTCATGAATGTGCAAACAATAGATAGTGCTGTTGGATTTATTTTAAGCAGATCATCGCCATTGAGTAGTTTTAGTGTGAGTAACCAGTATTCTGTCCAGCGAACCGCCTGGTGAACGGTGCATAGCAGGAGACTAAAATCAGGTGGAACCCTATATAATTTTTTGTTTACCAGTGATGGGATTTTACATTAGCACACATTATCACGCTATTAGCATGCAACATAACGCTGTTGGTATGTATACATTATGCACATGTCTGAGTTCCCTGTTGACTCACTGTTAGGTTTCATTTGTGTGTGTTTAGTACAGTATTCTTATAAACACTGAATGTTGTTCTGTTGCCCCCCCATCCTTTTATAAGTCTTTGTTTTTCATCAGTTTTAACCATATTCTTACTACATTTTCCTTTGGTAGCCTACCAAAGCTGATTTTGCACCTGAGCATTACTCGGTATCCCTGAGAGATGGTTACTGTATGGGATCTGGTTATTGAGAGAAATTGTATTTATTTTGTACCAAAATAAAATGTCACAATTATGTTTGATGGTTTCACTGTACTTTCTGACATGCGCAGTAGTGAATTAGGACCCAGTTCTAAACTTCACAATTTTTTTTCATGGGATGACATTAAAAGGTGCAGTGTTGAACCAAATGTCAATAAGGCCTGTGCTGGTCCCGGGGGGCTGCATCCCAGAATCATCCACGTTCCGTACTCATCCTTTGGCTGGTACTGCACTAGCAGAACTGATGGATGCCCGTGGACTGTACCACGAAGCAGGGTTCCTGGCTTATCGGGGTAACCTGTCGGATTTAAGGTAGTCTGGCCATAATGTAAGTGAACGAATATGGGGTCCATTTAAACTGTGGTACCTTAAATCTGACAAGTTACCCTGATAAGCCAGGAACCCTGCTTTGTAGTACAGGTCCCTGGAGTATGCCTTTATCTACAGTCCTCCAGTGGTTCCTCACGTATGGTATGGTGGTATTTTTTTTAAAGGGTTGTAATTAAGCTCTTGCCAGGAGGGCAGCAGTAAGCAGAAGCTGCAGCATAAGTAAAAGCCCCAAACAAGGCTTTGTCTCCGCTCACTGGGAGGGACAAATGAAGGAAAGACTTCACTGAAAATACAGCAAGCAGTAGTCAGCAAACATGGAGAAAAAAGCATAGGTGATGGAAAAAAGAAATAAAACAAACAAAAATGCAAAAACCAAAATCTAAGTGCTCTATACAGAATACATTGCATCTTGACAGCATTAAGGCATTAGCCATTTAAGTAGTTTGGATTGGTATGACAAGTGAGGAGTTAATTAAGCAGGGGCTAATGAGTTTCACGGTCTTCTAGCTGAAATCATGGCGTAAAGCTTTTTATGACAGCAGCTGAGACCCCCCATAACTGTAGGAATGTTTAGGGCTATAAGCAAAATGTTACTAAGCTTCTGGTAGTACTGTAGATCAGGCATGATCATGCAGTCCCAAACCACCATGTGTTAAATTCATGAAACTGCAGTTAGCTTATTTAGGAGACTTGCTGTCCAGCTGAACAGCTTCGGACTGAGGGAGGAAAGTAAACTGAGAAGGGAGACCATGCACTCCAGCACAGACTGGAGTTGGCACTGGAAATGATGAGCATGCATTGTGACCCACTGAGCCACCATGTGGCAAACTTCATGACCATTTAACTCATTTCTGAAGCCTAGACAACATACCCATAATTCTGCATAATGACCCCCACCCACATTAAGATGCAGGAAAATGAATCCATCGTTTGGACGCTAGGCAGGAAATGCTTTATTGACATTAAATCAAACAATTTCTTAATGCTCTATCAGTAAATCAGGTACAATCTGTGAGGGAGAGAACACAAAAAACACACAAATTAAATGTAAACTACTTTTAAAAGTTTCACAGGATAGTTGCCAGCAAAGTATTTTAAAAAGTCCATTTGTCATTTAAGGAAAAAAAATATTGAACACGACATGTATAAATTAGACTAAGTTTACGGTCCCTTTCAAAGTGGTTCTGAAAAACACTAAGCATAAGTGAAAGTGCCATTTACTCAAGTGTGATCAACCCAAGGTCTGATGAGAGGGAAGGGGTTTAACAAGGTTTGACATCAGTTCAATGGAAGTAGACTTTTTACACAGTAAAAATATTTAAAAGTTTGATTACATTTCACCCCTACAGACCCAGGAGCAGAGACCCCCACTGGATGTAAAGATCTGACACTGGTCACTGTCTGCACTGACCAAAGTTATACCCCTATTGTAAATCGTAAGAAATACTGGACAGAAATGTACCCACCATTCATGTATGTCACCATACAAGCATATTTCCTTCTAATCTACATTTTACCAACGGTTTATACTGGCTGTTTGTCTTGGAGTCAAATACTTCCAGAGTAACCTATCTGTTGCCCTCCTCCATTACTGAAGGAGCCTCCTTCACCTGCTACGGTTTTCTTATTACGGTACCATTTAGCTTGATAATACCTGGCAAAACAGTTAGAGCTTTCACACCCTGGCACTATAGAATCAGTTTCAATTAAAAACAAAGAGTATCTATAGTGTTAATACTGTGAACAGACTAATGAGGAGGCACGTTATCTAAAAACAGGACATTGTGTGCATCATTAAATGACACAGCTACACCTCAACTTAAGAGCCTGAAAAGAGATAATATGTTAATTCATCAGGCCCAAGATGTAATCCCCAGTAAGTGTGAATTGCTAATATCATGAAGAACATTTAAACGAACCACAAACAAGGCTGGTTATCAAAATCCGACCACGTGTCCAGATCCAGTATAAAAACAGTCCATCTGCAGAAGTTTGCGTTTTTTTCCCCCCCCCCACATCAGTGCATGGAGAGAGGGGGGGAAATCCCAGTTAATGTACCCATGGCAACTATTACCAAATCACAGGGGAAAACGATAAGGGCTATTTCATGGTCCTTCCAATACAACAAACGACATGAGAAATGACCAGCTGATAACCCACAGGGTCCAACTTTAACACCTTTCAGATTCTTCATACATCACAGTATATCAAACTGCAAAAAAGCAATTTTTACATTATATGAATCCCCTTCATTTTTACTGGCAGCTAACATCGAGACTTTGGCCACAACATAACCAGAGTGGAGAATAAGGGAACTGGGCAGGGCACTTAAACACTCCAGGGGTAGCATCACTACAACTGACGTCCAGTCTAACTGCACGAATGACCTTCGCTTGTGGACGTGACCGTATGGCATCGGCTTATGCACCAGCCGTGATGTCGTGGGTGAGCGTGACAGAATCCTTATTTGGTCCAGGTGCAGTCTGCTCACAGGACTGGACTGACGTGGCATCTGACTGACAGTCAAAGGCATTTCTAGTGGAAACAGGAAGAACCCACGTTTTGTGAGATCAGACGGAGGGACAGGAGGGCAGACAGGGGCAGTGAGCAGGTGGGGGAATGGAGGGGGGCTGGTGTTTATTGCCTTTCGGCACAGATGATGCGTTTGTGTCCTTGCATTGTTTGTCAAAATCCCACAGAAGGCAGTGCGGGTCCTACTTCAGTTTTATTATTAGTTTTTCAGTCCAGTTTCATTAGGCGTGGCAGCCATCTTCACAAACACCAGGCTTCTTCCCAAAGTACCGGTCAGACGGGCCTGAAGAATAAACACACAAAATCACGTCAAATTTATTGCATTATTTATATCAGCCACTGATGTTTATGTTATTGCTTCTGTATCTGGAAACAAATGTGTTGGGGGAAATATTAAACATGAGAAAATGGGTACAGTCGTCAGGCCTTTTAGGCCAACTGCCTGGCAGGATCCATTCGTCCATCTGCTGAGAGCCCTTACTCCAAAGGGTATCTTCCAACACAAATCCCAACCTAGCCGGCTGCAAGCCATGGCCTCTGGCCCATTAGCATCTTCCTCAAGCCGAGGATTTAAATGGTCTCCATGGTTACAGGAGGCCCCGCCTCCCTCTGAGAAGACCCTGCTCGCCCTCAAACTTCCCTGGCTTGAGGCTTCAGCATAATCGAAATGTACCACGACCCCTCCAGAGTGATACAGGTATCTCCTATTGTGCAACACCATTAATATACATGAATAAAAGCCGTAGAGTCAGAAAAACGGGTAGAGCCCTGGTACAATTTTGTTCCTTTGAGGTACAAACATTAAATGTATCCCCTCAGCGTCCATTTCTGTACCTTAAAAGGTACATTTATCTACACATAGGGTACAACTGCCAGGCCCCTTGAGGGTATAGCCTCAGTGACAAGTAATTGTACCCTCAAAGGTACAAACTGGTACTTTTTTTTTCCCCTGATAGTGTAGGTCTGGGCAAGACTGGCCTGCATCCAGCATGGAATTACAGCTTACTGACCTCTTCAGCTGATCAGAATTCCTGGAGAGCGGCCATCTTCCTCAGAAATGTTCCTCAGGTTATTTTCTGCTTCATCTACAGACCTACAAAAGAAAAGGGTGAGGATGGACCTTCCCTGTAGCCCAACAGCTGCTCCCCCACCCGGCGCTGCTCGCTCCGCCTTTTTGCTGAAGGCCCCACCCCCAAAAACAACCTCATCGCATCATCGTCCTTAAGCTCACCCAGCTCCTCACTACACAACGGCCAAAAAAAAAAACAGGCATCAAAAAGTGAGAAGTGAAATATAAGGTGCCATCTTAACGGCTCGTGGGCATTTTCACAGCATATCTGCAAAGCACATTTGTGCTCAGCGTGAATTTAAAGGCCAGCTTTTCAAGTAGAGAGAGCATGATTACTGCAGAACAGCAATCCAAAAAAACAGCACTCATGTTGCATCTAACACAGCCTGTGGAATTCATTACCATACACAAAAAAAACAGGACTAAAAGCTGCCTGTCTCTCAAACGGCCTCCATGTGCACCCGCAATCCCCTGGAAGCGTGCCTGTGTTTTGCAGTGTCTCGAACGAGCCACTCTTTCCCCTTTTCGAAGCCTTGGTGACCCAGATCGCACTGCTGAAGAGTGCAGGCTTTATCTAGCGGCCGAGTGTGGCTGGCTTTGGAGCTTGGGCACCAGAACAACATCTGGGTCATTACACCAAGGGCCTGACGCATAGGAAGACTCTACCCGCCAGGATAATAAATGGTACGACCCAGACTCACTCATGTAGGAAGTGATGTAAAACAAGTCCTTCACCACCAATTCTGGCCAAAAATGACAAGCTGCAGTTATTAGCAATATGGCCACTTGACAGTTTCTATTAAGCCTTAAGGGTTTTGCACAGTTAGACTAATTGGTAATATCTGCATTTCCTTTTCAAAAACTGATCCTTGATAAATGCTTTGCATCCCCTATTCTAGTTCAATGTGCATTTCACCAGAGCAGGATGTAACAATTCTGTGGCCGGTTATTGAAGAGCACGAGAAAAGGCTCAGGGGACAGTAAAAAAAGCGACCCAGCATTCTGATTTAACGCCCAGTTTACTGACAGTCCTGTTTAACAAAACGAGCAGAAGGAGCCATTCCAGAGAGACAAAACGAAACAAGATACTGTCAAAATCACACGTCTTCATTATGTGTCGATTCGCCAGAAGAGAGCCTTACACTACGCAGTCGATGGTTTAGCCAAAAAAAAATGTACAGGCACCCACACAAAAATGAGGAGGGATAAGAATTAAAATCTACAGTTAAAATCAAAGCAAAGCCCCCGTTTGCAGACTCACATTAAGAAGTCTTTGACGTCCTCCACCGTGATGTCCCCGGTGGTGTCCAGTGTGACATCACCGCTGCTGTTGGGTGAGTCCAGGCCAGGTGACCGTCCAGCCTGGCCTTCATCTGAAAGCACCACAGAGTTATGAGCACTGGAGACGGGACGAGTGTTTACACAGGGAATTGGGAACATATATAAAGCAAGAACTAACGAGTTAGCGAGCGCATTTACCAGCAGCATAAAAACCACACTCTTAAAATACGGCATTAAATCACCTGTCAACTGACGAGCCATTGCACTTTGTGGCATAATTTCCGTTGGTGAGCAAAATGGAAATTATACTGCTTTTCCCCCCAACTGCTGGAATTTTTCACATTGTTGATGCATTACTTTTACTCTGGAGACCAAACCTCTGAAAGAACCCAGCAAAACATCAACCGGACTTCATTTCTCACACGGCTGCAGGATATTACTTTTAGGATGAAGGAACCTAGCATTTGGAAAGTGAATGATGTGCCAGGATGAGGACAGCAGCGCCTCCAACAGGCTGGTGTAAGACTGAACTAAAACTGGGGCATATGGATAATCAGTCAGCAGTGCCAGACATGCAGACATCCGATCACAGTCAACCGAAATTAACTGGGGCACCTACAATCACACACAGACACATCCATGCCCAGCCCGAAAGGTTAATGCAAAGACCTGCTCTTCTCCGCCATCCATCTGTCCCACAAAAGAATCCCTACTCTACCAGGAGGAGTGCTGAACACACTTCTCAGCGTGACCGAGCACGTCACGCATGAAATTTCATGCAAGACGATCGGAAAAAACCAAACACAGCAATTATACAATTGTTCCGATATGGCTAGTGCAGAAGGAATACTTTGGATACACTCAATTTGAGAGATGACACCCCCCTCCAAAAAAAAGTCGCATAAAAAGAATATAAATAGAATATTATTGTTGGTATGTGTTTAAGGTAGATTGTGCTAAGTGCAAAACAGATGGTGAAAGGGGTGGGGGCAAATTTAAGCTGTGAAAGCCATCTCTGGGAATGCATCAGTATGAGCATCGCACAAGCCAAAGGAAAAACAGAGCAGAGGGACGTCAGTGAGGCGTCCCCAAGCGTGCCTTGGGCCTCTGGGCACCCCCACACTCAATCAGCACATTTCCCAGACAGGTCGGTCCAGATGTCACTTTGTTATGCTGCTTTCAAGCCAACTCCGAAGGCGGTTCAGCCGCTCTCCTGGGTGTCGGTCAGCTGCGTCTTCACACGCTGCTGGTCTCTGTGACGCAAGTCTGCATCTCAATGACTCATACAAAATGACACCGACAGCTGATTTAATGCTGGCCGGGGTGGGCAAGGGGGGGGGAGCTTTAGCAATTATATAATAAAAGTTTGATATGGACATTTCTATCATCACATAAAACGAGGAAAATTTCCTTGCATCTTTACAAAGCATGACATTTCGCTAAACTGCGCCCATCATTTCAAACTTCCTTACAGGAATCCACTCCCGGCGAGGAATTTCCCCTCATGAATTCTTAATAGTGCCTTTATTATCGGGGTTGACTGGAGTGGACGTCTCCGCGGAGTTGCTATGGTTACTGCCATGACAACCCCTGCTGACTTACCCTGCCTGATTAAAAGTGGTGCGCTGAAGCAGCCCAGAGTTATTAAACCGGACGGAAACAAAGGTCTGGAAAAACACAATCAACAGCCACTGGAGCCGTAAGACGGGGTGGGGTGGGGGTCTGAAACACCGCGGTTACGGTTATCGCTATAGAAACCGGAGGCCACGCAGCAAGGCGGCTCTGTACCGGTGAGAGCTCAGAGCAGTGCCAGGGTGACTGAATAAGCTTTGCTTTGAAAAGAGCCTCGGAATTAAAAGATCCCAATCAGCAGTGCTGAACGGACCCTTTACTGGACACCATTTCAGCAGAATGGCAGGCGGCCCACAGGTAAAGGGACGATTTTCAATAGGCACAAGGAAAATGGATGTAATGGTAAAATGGGAAGGAGAGCCAGAATGTAACTTAGGGGGATAATCTGGTTCTGACTGGTTGTTGAGGTATAGAAAAGAGGACCACAGGGCCGGGGGAGGGTAAAGAGGGCCAGGAGAGGGTAAAGAGGCCCGGGGGATGGTAAAGGGGGCCGCAGGGCTGTGGGGGGATACCATACCTTCCAGCTCTCCTAGAGAATGGCCATCCCCACAGGGCTGCCCCTTGTGTGTGCCATTGGATTGCAGGGACACGGCCGTGCAGGGTCTGCGGGGGAGGGGTAGTCAGGTGTCAGAAAAAGCATGGTGAGTTCACGCAACACTGCAGGTACCCCTGGGGAGGGGGATCCTACCTGAGGGCAGGGGTGTCACGCACCCGCTCCACCTCCACGGTGCACCGGGGCTCTGTGATGACCCGGGCCGACAGGGAGAAGCGGGCGAACTCCGAGGGGGAGATAAGGTAGAAACCTGCAGGGTGCAGAGATGAGCACGCCATTAGCGGGCGTTCGGGATGAGGGAGGGCGGGTCAACGTGCCGGAAACTTGTTCATTTAATATCAAGCTGACATGGGAACAAAAGGAAATGAGACGCTTACAGTAGGAGAGAGGCAGAGAGAGGCAGAGACCGAGAGATGCTTACAGTAGGAGAGAGGCAGAGAGAGGCAGAGACCGAGAGATGCTTACAGTAGGAGAGAGGCAGAGAGAGGCAGAGACCGAGAGATGCTTACAGTAGGAGAGAGGCAGAAGCATCAACAAAGAGAACAAGCGTGACGGCGGATGAGCGGGATTAGGGCCTAACCCTGTCCGGTCTTGGTGAACACGCAGGAGGCGATGCCGCTGATGTCCTCCTTGCGGATGCAGTCGTAGCGCACCTGCGGCCGCAGCAGGGGCACGCTGAACACGTGGATATCGCCCAGGTTGGTGAGGCAGACCAGGCCGTTCTCACAGTATTCCTCCGTCGAGACGCTGACGAAGCTCGCCAGTGCAACCTTGCGGACGCGGCAACCCTCGTGCGCGGTCAGTTTGAACTTGGTCTTGGCGCTGACCTTGGGTAGCGTGAAGACCTGGGGAGGGGGAGGGGGGATGTCAGCGATGGAGCACCTGTCAGCCTAGACTGCCATAAAGCAGTGCTTCTCAAGCTGGAGCTGGAAGGGAGCAAAAATGTGGACCGTCTGGGGGTCCACACCAGACCCTTTCAGAACCACAATTCAGGAATCCCCAGAAGAGCAAACAATCCCTTTATACAAAACATTATAGATAAGAAGAAAAAACACACACAGCAAACACAGAGCTCTAAAATTGCTGAAGCCTCCATTACACACACTTGTGACAGTGTTTAATATGTTCCTCTGCACCCTAACCCTGATTTAGGTGAAGCAGACCACAGTAACCTCCATCTTAATGGCCTTTGGAGCAGTCTTCTGGTGCAAGAATAACTCTGGTCAAAACTAAACCCAGTGGGTGAGGGGTCTGATTGGTCTTCAGGCTAGGTGACGAGGAGTCACTTGTGTCTGAAAGTGTCGCAGAGTTCCCTCTGCGGAGACACCCACAGCCTCACCTTGAACTGCTCCTCTGACGCGATGAGGACGGAGTGGCTGCCCTGCATGTCGGGAGCCTTGGCCAGGTCGCGGGACACCTCGTACGGCTCCGGAAGCGGGTTCCCCCGGCCATCCAGGACCGCGATGGCCACCACGGGGGCCCGGTGCATCAGCTGGATCTCCTTCCCCAGCACGGCTTCCACGCTCTGCTCCGAGAACTTCTCCTGCGAGGGTACCTCCAGTGCGTAGGCGTACACCGAGCCCGAGTTGGTGCCCGCCCACATGGTGGGTCCGTGGTGCCCGGCTGCAGCGGGGGAGAGCGGCCGTCAGCGTCGCCCGCCGTCCCCAGGAACAATGGGGTTGGTCTGGCAGCGGCTTTCACACCGTTTAGGGGAAAAACGGCGTAAACGAATCCTCACGGTGGTTTTAAAAAGATTTCAGCCACAATAAAAAAAAATGTCGAGTGGAAAAAACATGGAGACAAATGATTTTCCCATGAACGTCACACCCAGACGGGCAGGTAACCTCCAGAGCTGCCTATTTTAATGCTCGGTGAATCCCATTTGCTGCCCTGGGTCACATGACCACCCTTGCAGACTGCAGGAGGCTGAAGATCAGATCGCTCAGATCTGTCCCACTCAGCTGGCCACGACACGATGAAGAGCTTAAGAGCTGAGCCGGGAATATAATCGCTACCACATTGCCACAAATGAGCAGGGGCCATGTATTCTGGAGCAGCGGGGTACATTCAGCCCTCTGTAATGACACTGTGAAGTGTGTACTCTACTTTCCAAAAGCTAAACAGTCACACATAATGAAAACATACCACACTGGCGCTATGGAAACCTCAAAGACCAGACAAATACAGATGCCTCCAATTCTGACACAGGGCGGCCGTACCCTGGATGGCCCTCTACCATAACGTGATCGCCAGCTAAAGATCAAGACTACCACCCTAGGTGACCCGATTAATTGTGCACGTGGTCGGAGGCCTATCGTACCATCCCTCAGGTAGGTGTCTGCAAAGCACAGGCAGCGGACCACGCCGGAGAGAGAGTCGTCAGCGGAGCGGGGCTCGATCCGCCTCTGAACCGGCGTCACCTCCACGTCGTGAGGGCCGGCCTGCTCCGCCAGCTGGGCATTGGCCTCCTGGACCTGGGGGCAAAGGAATCCATCACGTCATCATGGCTGGGCTGAAGCACTCTGCACACAGCTTGCATGGTATGAAAGCCCTTGGAGAATATCAGGATCAGGAGGTACCACACCCACTAAAGTAACCTTCTACCCTTTTACACAAGCAGACATTTAACCAAAATATTTTATGTACTGTGAAGTATACGACTACAGGGAATCTTCAAGAAGGGCAACCTTTTGAGACCAACCGTGTCCTTTGCCATGATACCCACTCCTACAGCATGGTGTAGCTCAATTTGTGTTCAGGTCATGGGATTGAATCCCATAGCTGGTAATCACATCACTATTGGGCCCACGAGCAAGACCCTTAATGCCAACTGCACTCTGAAACTAATATACTTGTGTGTCCTTGTCTCTCATGGAAAGAGACATGGGATGTGTGTGCATAAAGCACCAATACTCTACCCTACCTTGCTGGTCGGGCTACTGGCTATCATGCGCTTCTTCCCAGAGACCCTGCTTTTCCGGATTCTTCTGAAGGACTGGCGCAGGGACTTCTTTAGTGACTTCACACGAGAAAGAGGCCCCTCCATGGCCAGGGAATCATTGGGATGGAGGGTGCATCTGGAATGAATTGGGTGAAGAGTTTACCGTAATTGCACCTTCAGGCAATGAGAATACCATGCTGGAGGTAGTGAAGGCTTAGATGAAGGGGGGCAGGGAGGTTACCTGGCGAGGACCGGGCTGCGGCGCTGGTAGTCAAACAGGCCGAAGCCGTGGCTCGTCCCAAAGGCAATGAGGCTCCACTCGGCATGGAGCGTCACCGCGGTGACAGCGGCGGGGGGCACGCACTGCACCAGCAGGACTGGCTGAAAGCCGGCTGGGAAGCTGACGGGTCCGGTGTTGGGGGTGAGCCTGTCGTGACCCTTCCAGGTGAAACCCTCGCGGTCCTGGAGGAGGTCCACTGTGGCTATGTTGATCATGTGATCCGACTCGTCTTCACTTAAATCCATCACGAGAACCTTAGGGGTCAGGAAAAGGGAGAAGGTGTTCACTGACTGATGGCATAGGAAAGCCGGGGCTGTGCCTGTGTGTGTGTGTGTGTGTGTGTGTGTCGACATGGGGGGGTGGGGGGGTGCCAAACCTCACCTGTCCTGCCGTCCCGGCAACCACCAGCTTCCCACTGTATTTGCACAAACAGATCTTCTGGATTCCCAGTCGTGGGTCGTCACTGTATGGGTCAAAGCACCCCACCTACAAAAAGGAAGTGACATCACTCAACTACTACAGAAAATAAATATTCATAAACACCCTCAGAGTCCATCATAGCTTTTCAAATAAACAGGAGTTCATGTAATAAATTCCTGAGAAGGAACCTTGAGAAAATGGGCACATAAAAATTCTCCAGAGATGGTGTAGTTTTAATTATGGAGAAAAAGGGTAAATATTACAAACCTCATATGTCTGAAGACATGGCACATAAAGATGCCATGAGTACAAGTTATTTTTGTAACAAGAAGGGCGAGGGCTGAACTGTTCAAAACACGAACACGGTGGCTCGTCTGTTAAGGACACACAAGGATTTAAGCCAAAATCTGGATGGTCTGCTTGGTAACGGTGAAGTAGCCCTTTGTGTGGCAGGTAAAGCCCCCACCTTCCTGAAGGGAGGCCACTCCTCCTCAGGCTGCGTCAGGCTGTCGCCGTGGTCGCAGTCCGTCTGGAAGATGTTGGCTGTGCTCAGTTTGTAGAGCGGCTTGAGAGACACCCCAGAGGCGTCCCAGAAGCGCACGGTGCCGTCCTCGTGGCTGAGCGGAACAGAGATTTTAAGATCCAAAACTCAAGTACACCAATGACAAGCCAGAAAGTGGATGTAAGCACTTCTGTGTTTAAGTGGCTTTGGCCAGGTGTCCGTTAATCACATGGCGCTGATTTGCTTACCCTGTCAGGAGCAGGCCATTGTGCTTCGGTTCAGGGGCCAGGTCCTTCCCCCCATCAACAGGCCACTTCTAAACACGGAGGAGGAAACACACAAACTCCTAAGCAGTCGCAGCAGGCTTGTTTACACCAATACACCTGGTATTTCAGCCTTCAAGAGATCCTTCCTCTCACTATGGAGAACCGCCCACCCAGGGCTGTATTAGCAGGGAGCACAGAGCATCAGTCTCTGAAATGATTTTCTAGGCCACCGTGGTACCCGGAAAGCAGACGGATGTGATTAGCAGTGTCACATTAAAGCCGGAGGCTGCTGCCACAGCCGTGAAACTCGATAATCTTAATTAAATGTCATTTAACAGGGACATAACTGTACAGATTAGCCAAGAAGAGGCTAATTCTTTCATCAAGCATGGATAGGGGATGTTTCCATCCAGCACATGTTGACTATCCCTAGATTCCCAATATCAGCGGTTGCCAGCTGACAGGTCAAATCAGCAAGACATCTGTAGTCAAATTGTGGCAGAATCCTCCCCACTGATTGGCAAAATATACCAAAGAGGACCACCCCCAATTGTCAAATGATGATGTCACAATTCAGTAGCTTGCTAGAGGTTGGAGACCCGTGTCCAAGATAATACAGTATGTGTAGTAAACAGCAGGGCAGAGTGGCGCCAGCTCTGAGATATGAAAGATCGAAAGATTGCTCAATCAAGCAGATCCAACACGAGGTACAAGACCCCATGACACAGTAGGCTCAAAGTCCGTGGCCTCAACTCCCACCATGCACGGTGACGGCGTGTTCTGGCGCCTCCCGGCGGCGACCACGCGCTCCCACAGCTTGACAGGCACGTTGGAGACGTGGTAGGAGCAGGTGATGGCAGAAGAGTGCAGGGGTGCGAGGTACGGGGAGGGGATGGCAGGCCAACCGGGCGTCTGGAGGTCAATGGCGACCAGCTCCTCTTCTAACAGAACCACCAAGGCGGAGGGGTCATCAAACTCTGAATGGGGAGGGTTGGAAATTCAGTGACCTTAAGACCAAAGTCAGCATCCACGGTTTCACACAAAAGGCTGGCAGTATAGAAGGTCTCACTAGAGGCAGACCAAACCAGAAATATTTCCCTATAAATCTATGAGACGGCTAAATTAAAATGGCACTTCAATTTCACACCCCAAGCAAAGCATTAACAACTTTCCAAACCCAATATACAAAACCCTGCAAGCGAAACACAATGTTGTCAATCCTTACAAAATGTAACTGTGTCTTGTTTGTGACCTTCTCACCTGCATCACCATCCACGCAATGAACGGTGAAGAAGTCAATGACCCTGGAGGTGAAATCCAGTGTGACTTGGGTCTTGTCCTGCAGCACCGTGACACAGTGCCTGTCCCCGTAGCTGGCCCTGGGCATGCCCCCGCTGAACAGCACCAGGGGGGGGCTGAAGGGGATGGAACAGGTTCACTCCAATGCTCACTGCTTAGTGCACATATGGGCAGAAGCTTCTACGGTGGCTCGTTCTTCATGCTACAGTCAGAAGCTGATTTCTACCGGCTCGCAAAATCAATCCCTCTAAAAACATTGTGCTCATCTCCTCATTCTCTCATCCGCTCATTTCCAGATGACCTTCCAAGCATCCGAAGGAAACGATCATAAAGCAGTAGCTTCATTCTGCTGAGTGAAGATGAGCACATTTCCCCTCTAAAGGTCACTCTGTATTGCTGGGATGTAGTTTCTGGTCACAAGCCCAGCCGCCCACGAGCTTCGGCACGGCCCGGCGATACCCACCCCGCTTCCGTGGTCCTCCACAGGATCTTATTGATGGCTTTGCATGGGAACGGGCCTAAAAGAGGACGGCAGAACAGACGTTTGAGCAAAATATGTGCAGCAACAGGACCAAACCGAACCAAAAATCCCAAAGCTAAGATGTACTCATGGTAACACCAAACCTCTCACGCCCAAATGCTGGTGTTCACGGCTTCACGCCGAGGCGGCGGCGTGCCGGCGAGGCCACTCACCGTACGGTATGGAGGAGGCTGTGGGTTGCTGCGTGCAGAAGCTGCCGACGGGCCACACCATGTAGCCGCCATCGCTGTGCGAGCTGACTAAGGTCCTGCCGCTTCTCTCCCAACAGAGACTCTCCAGCTGCTGCGGGGGCCCAGATACAAAAGGTGGGTTAACGGGGTCAACCGGGCCCGACGGATCCAACACCACTCCCCTAAAATCCACCAACGGCACAGCAGGGGACTGACGGGCAGCAGACTGACCTCACCATAAACAGACTGTCACCAAGCGTCTACTCCATAAAACAATTAGCCATTACTGTCCTTGGGGGATGAGGAGATTTACAAGGAACATTACTGAAACATTTCTGTAATGGTATAATTGCATGCTATTGAATAAGCCATTGTACCCAGATCTGCTCCAGTAAAACAAACTCCCCCCCAGGGACCAATAAATTATACTTATCTACAATTACAGACCATACAAAATCAGTCTTTACATTTCAATTGTAATGTTTAGACGAGAAGTAAGCTTGGCACTCTATATCCATCCCACCACAAGACACCGTCAACGGCAGTTAATATGGGTCATTTAAAGTGTCAAGAAGGAAGGGGATAGGGGAATAGACTCCCAGAAAGGAATTCGGGATTGCAGAGGTTGCCTACCCAGTCTAGATCTAGACGGCTATGTTATTTCTGTTACTGTTGCCAAGTAACAAGCCACTAGCAACCGGGTTAAGCATGTTGAAGCCATTCTGGTTTAAGCCAGACTGACACACAAAAATTTTGTATCAGCTCAGTGGTTGGTCGCCTGCGTCCTCTTCACAGAGAATTATTGTGAAACCTTAACATTTGGCACTTGGCCATTACCATGAAACTAAAGCTAACTTTCCATTCTGAAGCATTATTTATTACACACAATGTAGTATACAACCCTAATATGCAATTTGGCCTGTCAGTCTATAAAGGTCACCATTTCAGGTTCAGTAAAATATAAAGCTCTGCTTTGTCTAGACATCAGCCAAGGAAGATTAAATTTAAACATGGAGCTTTTTATAAGGGTTTTAAAGTAGAAAATAAGACTTTCCTCAAGTGTTTCAGTACAACATGGCAATAAAGTACAACCATACAAAATCGACATTCTCTGCAGGAGGTTTCTATAAACATTCTCGAAGTTCCTAAACAGAGTGGATGCTTAGCGACACCCTATACAAGACTCAGAACAGCCAGAGTATTAGGAAAATAATGTCTTCGAGAAAAGGCGAGGGGGCGAGAGACAAATCTCTGCGCTTTCCAAGCCGTCAGTGAGTGCTTCCCTTTTTAACATGGAAACACAGCACAGTGGCGAAAGAGCAGGACAGACACCCACCTGGATACCCAGGAAAACGTTCTCCACCTTGCGGGTGGCGTGATCCCACAGCACCACCAGTCCCCGGCTGTACCCGATGAGCATTTTGCCCGCACACTGGGGATGCTCTTGTAGGGATTCCACCGGTCCCAAAGACTTCCCAAATTTGTAGTCCTCTGGGACGCTGCAAGCACAAGGGAAGGAGAACAACATTCTTGAGTGTCCTTCAGACGATCAGCCACTGACACTTGGCATTAAGGCATTAGATTCAAGAATCAGCTCCAACGATGCCCAATAAACCCACACAAGGAAGCTGGTAACAAAACAACACATTCCTATTTAAGACAAAAAAGACAAAAGTCCCAAAAAAGTATTGGCATCATCCATACAGCAAAAGCACCATGTCTTATGGCATAACACAAGCACCATCAATAAAAATCCTATCAATTAAATTACACCACCCCACAGAATGCACCTTAGTTGTAGATGCTGAAGTTCTAGGAACAGATAATGGAGGGACTGAGAGGAGGGAGAGTTTGAGATGGCTTCCTGGCCAGATGCGAGCATCAGAATGCAAATTACAACCACAACCCACACTTATGGGCACAGGTCGGCATTAAGGAAGGCATACAATCAGCCCAGGGCCCCAGGTCCAAGCTGACGTCTGTATCAGCAGGCAGATTCCAGGCTATTCAATGGAAAATGATCTGAACTGTAATACAGTGAGAAACGTGACCCTGTAACCTTGTTAGTGGTCCTGGAAAATGGAGAAAATAAGTAAGAGTAAGAGAGTGTGTGTGTATGACTGAGACCATTATGACAGGAACCACCCCAGGGGGCCTACAATCCAGCAGAGTAGCACTTCAGTCTTGAGCGGTGGAATGGCAACTGTAGAATCTTGGATATGGAACACCCATGAGAGTAGGCCATGGTTTCAGGAAGACCCAGGATATAGCAAGGCTTTTGGTGGCTAGTCTTCAATCGAAGCAGGACACTTCACACGAACACCTTTCAGTGCGTTTCCCAGCAACCGTTGCACAGTCATTAGACTAGGGTTGTCCTGGAGGGCCAGTCTGCAACAGACTTTGCAGATTTCCCTGCTCAAAACATACCTACTAAACCTGGCAATTGGCCAGGGAGCTGAATAAGGTGTGTTTGACCAAGGAAAACTGCAAGCTGTCTTGCAGACTGGCCCTCTAGGGTTAGGGTTAGCCAAGTCGAATACGCTAGCAGTCAAGATGCTTAACAAGAAACAGATTTTGTTCTGCTCCGGGCCGCATGTGTCATATGGCACGAGGACGTGGACAGACAAGGAGTAACATGACACTTCACATATGCAGAAAGAAAATATCAACTGGCCTCAAAACCCCAGTAGGGCACCACGGGGTACGACCCGGATGGTTATGCTCCCCAGCCAGAAGCTCCATTCTCTTAAGAGTACATGTGGGTAACACCCTAGTCTATGATGTTCAATGACCAGGTCATGAGACATTTTAACATGAGGTTAAAGCACGATGAGAGAAACGCAGGGCTTGGCTGCTGACTTTTTGCTCAATTGCCCGCCCCCTCCCCCCGCCCCGCCCACAGAAACATGCCCCCGTCTCACACAGGCCCACTGCTCCGTTAATGAGTGGCTCGGCACTGAATGACCCCAGAGGCGGACTGAGGAGCCAGTCTGGCCCTGCCGGAATCACCACGTCGCAGAGCGCAACACCCCAGCACACAGAGCAGAGCGCAACACCCCAGCACACAGAGCAGAGCTTAAATGCTAAATGGTTCATTTCATTGCCACCATGACGATGTTGAGATAACAATGAGAATTGCTTTAAATGAAAACAGGCAAAAAATAAAAAATAAAAAAGCAAAATCGCTTAGCAGTATCCCCTCCATTTTGTGAATCAAAGTGAACTCTGACTGTTCTGGAGGCAGGAAAACATGTTGGGGGGGGGGGGGGTCAAACACGGCAGGAGGCCCAATGACCACCATGTGTGGACTTCTGATCCTCCCCAGAGTTCAAAGTATCTATGGCCAGCATGAAATGGACTCCACTAACTGTGGAGCGCAACAAGGCCAGGGAAAATGGTATTGGGGGTGGGGGGCAGCAGGGGATTCATTAGCATGAGAGTGAAGAGCTCAAGGCCTGGGGTTCCATCGCTCCTGTAGGGAAGCTGGGCCATAGAGCCCATCTGTCTCACGCCGGCATCAAACTCCTCCGTCCTGCCCGCTAGGGAGCCCAGAGGTAAGACATACAAACAAACCACAGCAGCACACAGAGGGCTATCAAGACAGGGGCTATTCTCACCCACACAGGATCTGCCCAACTAAGCATGTGAGAAGGTTTCATAGCAGCTGTGTTCTCTGACGGAGATTAGGGAAAATCGCAGCGGACTGATTACCCACTTAAATAGTCAGCATCTCCGGGAAGGTCCAGCAAAGACCACCAAAATTTTGCATGGTACATTGCCTCCAACCAACCATCAAACTTTTACAGAACCCTCCCATGGTCAGTATCTGATGCTGTGAGACGTCTCTTTCCACATTTAGACTTCAGGTCTTACTTCCTCATTCTGTAAGCACTGTGGCGTTTCTCACGCAAGAACAGTCCTCAACCATCAGAAGCACAGACTAGCCGTCCCTTAGTGTAGACCTACCTTTGTCAGTCTGGTGTACATCTGCTCAAATCCAGCACACCAGCAACTTATAACAAGTGACGACCATCCTCTGCTCAAGATGAGCTGTTCAACCCACACATACTTTATATGATTATGCGCTACTCGGCTGTACAAATGACCTCTAGATGTTCCAGTTACCTCCCGCGGTTTGACGATATATAGTTAGGCTAACTGGCATCTCTAAACTGCCCATAGTGTGGGAGTGTTTGCCTACCCTATGGACTCCATCCAGGATAGCCCCTAGCCTTGTAATGCCTGGGATAGGCTCCAGACCCACTCCCCCCCCCCCCCCCCCCCCCCCCCCCCCGACCCTGACCAGGATAAGGAGATGGATTGATTTGGCTCTCAGTGACAAAACAGTGAGCTTTTCCGAGCGAGGCTCTGAATGTGACAGAGGACCAAACAAATTGGCCAAAAGCTGCGATGCATATTTGCAGGAAATGAGCGTGGACTTCAGTCTACTGGATAGCTGTGCTGTTAAGGGTCTGTGCAGAGCTCAGTCAGACCGTGAACAGAAGCTTGTAGGCGTGCATCATACAGGTCAACATTAAAATGTCACCGTTTGAGGTGCAAAGGCTTCCTCTCTAACCCACATAGGACACTGGGTGTGACCAACATGTCAGTCACAGGAGACCTTTTGGTTCAGACTACCACAATGAGTAAAGGACAGCTTCCAGGCCAGAACATCACTTCTGACCCAAACCCCCTCAGTCTGATGAGTCAGACAGAGAAACTGTGGTTTTGCAAAAACTGCAGAAAACACACCCCTCATACCAGTCTGCCCACACAAGGAATTTGTAATTTAGAATCAAACCTAACCCCTCCAACGCCCAGGAAAGGAACATCTTCAAAGCCTCCAAAATCTCAGTCTCTAGGTCACGCAGCACGGAGAGGGAAAGTGTCCTATAACATTAATAGAAACGTTTTCATTTCAGATAACAAAGCTCATCTTCTCACCTTAGGTGCTCAGTTTAACCACCGACCTTTAAACGTGAAAGCAGAGAGGATGGAGACAAGAAGTAAAAATGAAGAGCTAAAAGTACAGAGAGACCAACAGATGGAAAGTCCTATTATGGAGATTCCAAGCTGCAAGCTTAGGGTTAGCGGAAGCTTAAGTGGGCTGTGTTGGAGGGAATAAGCCCTGGGACTGTCGGCATTATCACCCACCTCCGTAAAATCTCATCCGGGAACAGGGACTGCGAGTCTAGCAGGGTGAGGTCTGGCAGATCCAGGAAGTGCACGCCCCCTCCCTCGGTGCCCAGGCACAGCTGATCGCAGGTCCGCTTCAGCAGGATCACGGTCACCCGTGTGGCACTGTAACCAGGGGATGATGGTCATGGGGGGGGGAGGGGCTTAGGTGCTCAGCCAGCCCCTACCAGTAGGGGGACTTCAGCTTTCATGCAACACCAACATGTCAGTCTTAACTTTCGTGTCTCTGGAATTTTCCGTAATGATGGCTTGAATATCTTTCGTCAGGTTCACTACCTCTCCAGTCAAGATCTCAAGTACACTGGCTGAAAAAACCAAACACTTTATTTCGTTGGACCACCTTTAACTTTGATTACATTCATCAATGCATTTCCATGTGCTTATGCAACAAACACTTTTTTTCCCCCATCTAGATTCACATTATTTCTCATTGAGATTCTGTATTGATGATAGGCGAGTTGAATCACTCTGTAAAGTCTTCTTCAGCACATCTCAAAGGCTTTCCATGGGGTTACGGTCAAGACTCTGTGGTGGCCAATTCATGTGTGAAGATGATTCGTCCTGCTCCCCAAACCACTCAGACAATTCGAGCCTGATGAATCTTGGCATTATCGTCCTGGAATATGCCCATGCCGTTAGGGAAGGAAAGCCCATTGATGGGATAACCTGGCCATTCAGTAGATTCCGGTACTCAGCTGACGATCTTTATTGCTGCATAACGTTGCTGAACCGTAACAATGATCCAGTCATTGGCCTTTGAATTTAAATCAGCAGGTACTTAAACAGTGACCTTTTTCTTTGGCCAGGCGTTGTATTTCAGTAAATAAAACCAAACAAGTAAATAAATATAAAAGGACTGACACTCCATATTCACCTTGTGCTCTCCAAGCCTGGGCGCCCCGGCAGGGTGAAGCTGCACAACTCCTCCAGGTTTGAGCCGCCCTGGCGTGGGTTTATCTCCCAGAGGTGCAGAATGTTGTCATCCAGCAGAGACACGAGGCGGCCCTATGACCCACACACAGCCGACAGGAAGGTCCCAAGAATTAGCAATGCCTTGCTTTGATTTCTCCCTCCTCTAAAAGGCTAAAGTGAAACAGACTCCGACTCAACCAAGCACCAACTGCAGGGCAAATCAACTCATTTTGTACAACTCAAAAGGCAACGAAGGCAAGTCTCTTTCTATCCCACCATCCTTTACTGCTGGCATCCAAAACACTGCAGGACAAGGAATGCGATTCCACACTGGTTTCGGCTGTTAAACTGGAAACTAACAATTAGAAAGGAAGTAAACACACGGGAGAGCCTCGTTCAGTTTGTTTGGTTTATTTGCGGCAGCTGTTCTTGGGCTGTGGAGAATACTGAACAGATGGACACGCAGAACACCACCACTGGCAACTGACAACAATGCTCAGCTTTTGGCAGATACCAATAAGACCGCAACATAAACCCAAGAGTAATGATTTTCTTCCCCCCTCAGTCCTAGTCCTGGGGTTCTGCTAGGCATGCTACTTAAGACCAGCTCTAATTGGTTGAGCAATTATCTAGGCCGTATGTAGCTACCTCCAAAAGGCAAGCATGTCTGCCAGTAAAACAAAGGTTACTATTCAGCCAAACCTCGAGTTCAAAAAGCAGGTTGAGTTAATGCTAATTCGTCCCAGGTAAGAAACGTTTTAGCTTAATTTTCACACACACACATGCTTAAACAGTAACACTACATTAAAACATGACGTCAGAACATCGTAAGATCGGCTGCTTCACTTGCCGACATTCCCAGCCGAGATAGACACCCCGGCACAGGAGCCAGGTTCCTGAGCTGCAAGCTCTCACACCAAACAGTTGGTGTGAGTAGCGCCCCCTACCTGTCCGTGCAGGAAGTGCAGCTGCATGACGGTGGCGGGTTCCTTGTGGAAACTCGTGAATTCCACGCCGGGAGCTCCATAGCTGGGGAACAGTCGGTCAAGGACACAAAACACACAGGGCATGTAAATGCTACACGCTAGCTGCTTCACCTGTGGGTTTATGACCAAACTGGAGAAGAGAAACGAGAGAGCGCATTATGGTAGCAACTGCCCAGCAGGTGGTGGCAGCCATTTTGTCCGGCTCTTGGGTGTTTCAGTCTCCCAGAAAACAGGCCGGAAGATGCCTGGAGCCACAATCAGTGGCACAGAAAGCCTCCCCTCTGCTGTTCTGAAGAGTAAACGAAGCTTCTGCCGAACAGAGTATGTCTGTAGCGGCCGAAATGACAGACAGAAGGGCTCTCAGCATCCACCCACCCATCCATCAATCTTCTGTAACCGCCTGTCCTATTCAGGGTCCAGAGCCCATCCCAGGAGCGACAGGCACAAGGCAGGGAACAACACAGGATGGGGCACCAACCCATCGCAGAGCACAGTCGCACACGCGCGCACACACACACACACACACACACACACACACACACA